CTCTTGGGTCGCATCAGCAAGAGTGATTGTGATGAGAATAGATAATAGCAATTTTTGTTTCATCTTGTTCAATAAAAGCTTTAATCCACTGGAATATGGTGAGCCCAGGGAATTCCTTGAAACTTTCTACTTTCTTAGTATTACAACAAAGTTGGGCCAAAAGATGGTCAACATATTGTTTCCTTTGTCCATTTTCTTGTCCATGTTAATTTTTCTTTACCAGTTTAATTGTTTTGTAATCTATTCATGTTGACCTCTGATTTGGGCAACTTTACTCATTACTGTGACTCGAATGATGAATCGTTTTTTGCAGTTTACAATTAAGTCACTTGAACTTTTGCGAATTAAAGAATCATAGTTTCTATTGCAAAATTTACTTTTCTTTTCTGCAAATCAAGTTGAACATTTCTGTTGATAAATTTTACACCAATTTTCATGTTTGAGCATTTATCGATTTATCTTGTGTTCTTGAGAAGTTGCTGGTTTGCTACGTTTTGGGTTCTTTTTAGGTTTCTTTTCGTTCTTTTTTGAGTTAATATCACTGGCCTGTCTAGAAAACCAATGAGAATAGTGATAAACACTTTTGGACAAAAGCTACGATTTGATCTGTTTCTGATTTTGCGAATTCAGTTTGGGAATGTCATAATACTCAACAGTTGAAATCTACTTTGAAAATGAATAAAAAGTTAATGGTGAATATAAGTTGGCATTATAAGTCGATGTATAAAAAATCTACGAGTCTGGGTTGTCCCAAGTGGTCACCCACTAAGTACTAACCCAGCCCAGTTTGCTCAACTTCGGAGATCTGACGGGATCCGGTGCTATCAAACTGGCTCAGCCGTAGCGAAGGATGGTGCATTTAATAGTTACCAAGAGCTTGGGCAAGTTCCGATTCTCGATTTAAAGGCATTTTTTACGCTCATCTTAATAATGACTCGATATCCCCACACGATTATCATTTACTGCTCTACCAACTTCACCTTACTTTGATATCACGACATAGTTCAGTTCAAAGTTGGCTCAATAACAAAAAAACGTGTCGGAAATTCATGCTTTGATGGTGATTTGATCCAAGCTCATCTCTCATAAATCCTAATGAAATAACTTTGATCGAGTCCTCAACATGAACTCAACCCAAGAGAAGGTGCAATCTTTACCAAAATGAATACATTTAACTATTGTTGGAATCAAAAGTGTTTCAATGTTCTTCATATCTTAATGAACATCCTTTGACTTAAATTTTCATTCGCCTTGAAATGAATTTTTCCATTTTTCAATAATCTCCAATTCGAATCAAAAGATTCAAAAGAAGATTATGCAACAGAATTTGCTCGCTTTATTAGTTTCATCTTTTCATTTCAACATTTAAATTTTTTCTTCTTTTCCGTTCACCAAGTTGACTTTACACCATTATCATCATCTACTGAACACTGAATCTAGCAACAGCCAAAGTGCAACAACAACTCTTATCTCTACCCTGTAATATCTCACCCATCGATTTGAAATAAATTTACATATTTGAATTGATACGAAAGCTTAAAGGTAAAAAAGAAGCCGAAGAAAGAAAAAGAAACTTTTAAAGATTGTTTTCGTTTATTACCTTTACTAGAGTTTAAATGCAAAGTGATGAAAATATTGTTACTCGGATAAAGTCAAGCTTAACTTTTAACCTTTCCTTCCCATGAAAAGATAATGATAAAGGTAAAGAGTGAAGAAGAAAAAGTTGAAAGAAGATTATTTTTGCCCAGATTTTCTTTCCTCAGGCATTTATCGTTGCAATTTTCTCCAACTTTTTTTCATTAGATTTTCACTCCCAGTCTCGGAGTGAACAATGAACAGAGAATATCAATAAATGTTTCAAAATTTTTCTTCAAATCAATAGTTGAATATTTAAATTGGCAAAAAACTTGCCAGCAAAACTTGACATGAAAGGAATGAAAATTGGAAAAAGAAACCAAAAAATATTCATGAATCGAAAAGAGAAAAAAAATTGTATTCGATAATTGTTGAATGATGAAAAGTTGCAAAGCTTCATGAAACAACTTTTCCTCTTCATGAAACGTTCCAAATTAACAACAATTGAAGAATTTCTTTTCAATATCATGACAATCACCCAACACCCGAGGCTACAAATGCAACTAAATGAACAGCTTATGTTTTTGTAAGCCAATGATTAATATTTACAGAATATTCTTTCACAGCTTTTCTCCTTTTCAACTCATTATTTACATGTAAATCCTGTAAATCATTGATTATCAGATGAAAGTAAAAGTGAGAAACGAGAGAAGCAGAAAAAAATCAATGAACAAACCTTTTCAGTGAAAGTAGAAGCAATTTTTGTTGAAACAATTTGGCAAAGAAGAAAAAATTGATGAAAAAATTTATTCCAACTTAATGAGCTCATGACAATATTGAAGCACCTAATGAGCCTTTAATATCCAAAATGATAGTAAAGGCAAAAGGTTTACAAATCAAAGTTAACGTGACTTTTGGATATGTAGACTAATGTGATTAAAAATCGTGAAAATTATCGTTATTACCATTCTTTACGATTCTGTTAATGTTAAAGCCTTTCAATTCTTTACCTTTACAACATTTTATGATCACCTTAAAATGATGAGGATAAAAGCACAAGTAAATCAAGTTGATATGTTTACTCTAATCATTGCCAGTTATCACTTTATTAACTGTTTAATCGCATTTTGTGGTTGTAATCGTAACCAAACTTTTCAAATTAAAAGGTTACATGAAATGAGGTTTTTTTCACAGAAAACCTTTTGGTGAAGAGAAAAGAAAATGAAAAATTTTTCTCTTTCCATAATTCCCAGGTTCATCATGAACTACAACTTTGACCTTAGTTGAGGTAAGGATGAGAAGAGAATCATCATTTCCTTTTTCATAAACCACTTAAGCTCATCATTTGTAACCAGTTAAACAGTCTAATGTCAATGAGAGTAAATTGTTGAATTTTTCATTCAAATGTTCATTCGAAAAAGAAACTTGAATTTTTCGAATGAAAATTTCAAGTTTCTTTTTTTGCATTTTCTTGCTTTTCTTGGTTTTCTTGTTAATCTTTACAAACTTGATGAAAGAAGCTAATTTCAAATCATTATCTTGTAACTCTTTTCATGTAAAATTATTGCTCCAAACTTTAGGTAAAGTCTATTCTAAACTTTTTTTATTTCATGTTTTCCACTTTTCTTTTCACTTTTGCTCATCAAGTTTATCATGAAACATGAAAGATTAGACTTGCAATGTTTTTTATGAAAAAAAGGACGAAACAAAAGACTGGTGTAAAGTAATGAAATAGTCTGAATTGGTTATAATAAATGGAGTATAATTTACAGAAAATTATTGATTACAATGAATCATGATTAAAGCTTTTGATTTATGCATTTTTTCGCTTCATCATCATGAACAAAGATTCTTGAGCCTTTTTATTTTAATAGAAAGAAAAAGACTGAGAGAGAGAGAGAGAAAGAAAAAAGAAAATCATTTTTCACTTTAATACTTGTATTGATTTTTTTATTAATGATGTTTAAAAGAAGAAGAAAAACGAAGAAGTAAAGATAAAAAGAAGACTAAATATCATCTTAATCAATGAAATTCATCTTATCCTGTAATATTTAGTCTATCATTTTTAATAGTCCATTATTGATAGTTTGCTGTTGGTTAAATTGAATAACAAAAAATTTATCATCATTAGAATTATCAAAATTAATGAGCGAAAAGGAGAAAAAATGGGAAATTCTCTTCGAGTTTAGGTTATCAATTATCTAACTTGAATTGGACAGTTGAACCAATGAAAAACCCTTTCAACTTCAATTTATTGGTTACAGAATTTTCAGGAAATTTGATTGAAAAGAAAAAATTTTATGCAAAATAAATTGGAAAAATGGTTGCATCCAAATGGTCAGTCGATTTTGTAAACTTTTTTCTTTTCATCATTTTTTTATTTCTTTCCGGACTTTCTTTTCTGTTCATTCAATTCTCTATCATTCTAGTGATTTTTCATTCCAAATGTTATGGAAGGTGAGAAAACTTAAATGATGTGGAAATTGAATTGATAGCAGGACTTACCAAATGGCTCGTTGAGGTCAGTTTAATTTTTGCCTAACTATTCTTATCAAATTACTGATGGATTTGAATAAAGTCGAACTAAAAGGAGTCTGACGAAAAGAGATTTTTTATTTTCTCTAATTTTCTAATAAAACTTGGTTTCGTTGACCTCTAAAGACACTCGATTCTTGTTGTTGACAATCAATATTCACTAAATCTGTGTCATTCAGCTCAGCTTACAAATGCATTTGATCAAAGTTTATTAATGTAAATGTGAGTTTTTGCACTTGTCCAAGTTTCTCAAAAGGATTGGACAGTTTGTAAGCCAGTTAACGAATAAATTATTTGTAAACTTGCTCATCTTTTCTGGAAGAAATTTATTCCAAAAGAAATCTTGTCTTTCCAAGTTGGTTGACCAGAAGCCGAACAGTTGTAAATATTAATATATCTCTTAGATTGAGTGAGATTTGTTGTACTCATGACTGAGTATTAGGTAACCACTCAAGACATTGACCTTTTTGCAGTAAATTTAATAAAAAATTCAAGTAAACTGAGAAATGAAAACTAATCTAAAAGTAAAAGATGGAAATTGATTTATTCATATCATTGAGTTTACCTTCAAACCAGATTTCAATAGACCAATAACATGTAAAATATCAAAGCAAATCACATTAGACAATATAAAAGGTCTGAAAATATCAACCGATAGCAATCATTAATTAACAGCCATTTGCTGAAACGCAACAATAACCATTGAGCTAAAAGATACAAATCTTTGTTCAACCATCAAGTCAAACGTTGACGATGAATAATTCAACTTTGTAAATCGATTCTCGAATCATTTGAATGTGAAAAATCATTTCCATTTTCAGTTGAAACTTTCATCTTTTGTGACGACGATTTTTGACCCAATTTGAAATTGAAATGAAATGTCAACTTACTGTTCTATCACCAATATGATGGACTCGGCAAGGTAGGAAAACACTTTTGCCCGCTGATGTCGTTATATTTTTATTTGTTGTATTATCAAAGTAAGGTTCAATTTTACTTCTATCTTGCAAAACAAGATATGGTGGAATCTCACTGGCTGCAGATGAAGATGACGATGAATCAAAAGAAAAGGTGAAAATTGTTTGAAACTGAAATAAAATTATTCCAATGGTCAATGGTGTTTCGTGTGGACACAATAACATGTTAGATGATAAAACAGACGTTCACTTTGTAGCCACACAGACACACAAAACACACACACACACTTAGAGACGCAATTTTACACTTGCATTGAAAAAATCATGGTTCACTTTTATTCGTAACCAATCTTGGTTTTCTTCTCATGAAAAGTGTTTTTACTTTTCTCTCTTGTTCCACTCATCCTCCTCATCCTCATCTTCATGGCAAAACCATTCATGCAACTCTACAAGTGGCGTCCTCTGACGAACAAAATGACTACTAAAATCGATTTTTTACACTAAACTTGGCTCCATCTGGTGGAATGGAATTCAACTAAAAAACTTTCGACAATCGATCGAGTTCGAAGAAGAGAACATTTTCACCTCGAGATTTAAACTTCAGATTACGCCACTGAAACAGATGTAACTCGAATTAGCTTTTGCAAAGTTTTGCCACATTTCCCTTCCTACCAAAGTTATCTTCTCAGGGATTGCCACACTTTCACTCCCAGTCAATAAAACTGAGTATGATTCTGTATCTGTCTCTATAAACGTAAAAATGTAACATGGAAAAGCTTTACACTGAGTAAATGGAATTAAAGAGGCATCATGAAACTTGTTTAGGTGAAACTTTTTTTTATCCAAATTTTTGTACAATCAAGGTAATTGTTTCCGCGAAAAGCAACTCAATTTGAAATTGCAAGGAATCTTCAACTTTAAGTGTGTTTAGTTGTGAAAAGTTTTTGTGATTAAAATTGTTTACAAGTTCATCTCATGGATTAACAGTGAATGTGGATTAATGATTTCATTCAATTAACTAAACATGTTTTGCTAATTAAAAATGTTCTGAGTTTTTTTCCCCTGAAAATCAATTGAATCATGTTATTATTAATGATAAAGCTTTTATTCTTGTTAACACATATTTATCTAACAACTTGTTTACCAGGTAAGTTGAACTTATCACTTATTTAATTGGCATTATTGAACATGAAATGAACAGAAGCTTTCTTGTTATAATGTTGACCTTCTGGGGTTGAATTTATACGTTTATTACTTTCATGATTTGAGGTTAAATTGTTTCAATATTGAATAAATTTTATGAACTTGAAGATAATGTTTCCTTTTTTTGTCTCTTTAAAAGTAATTGTTGAAAAGGAGAAACAGAATTTCTTTTAATCATTTTGTGAACTTTGTTGTTTTTGTTAAACTTTATTAATCTCTTGAGAGTCTCAATGAAACAAGATGCAATTGAATTTATTATCATCTATTCTGGCCTCAAAATGTATACTTATATTTATATTCATGTGAATAAGGAATGGATAAATGCTTCCCAAGACGTTAATTGTCTTTAACCAAACAATAAATGACAACAATGAGAAGATAAATATTCATCATTTTTTTTCTTCTTTTCGTCTTCTTCTTCTTCTTTCGTTTTTGCTTCTTTTTTTCAAGTCAATTTCTATTCTAATCATCCTCATGATGATCATCATTTTCGTTATTAGGATGATGGTGATGATAAAATTGTGATCATCTTGTTAATCATTAGTTTGATCCATTATTGAGATTAGATTAATTTGGTTTGAAATGAAATAAACTATTATTTGTGGCCACTTAAAGGTCTTTTCATGAAAAGTGCAATATCATCATGAAAATAACAGAATAAAAGGTTAAATTCTATCAATTGGATTTGCATCTTATTTCTTTTTCTTCTTCTTCTTTTTTCGTCTGCTTTTCATCTTCTTTTCCATCCTTTTAGTTCATGTTTGCATGCATTCCAAGTGAACAAAATTCTGCAGCAAACAAAGTTATTTAATTGATGTCCCATCAGAATAGTCCAGACATGTTTTCATTCAAAGAAAATGAACTTTGACAAATGTGAATTTAAAAGATAAACGGAAGAGATTAACGCTCATCTATTCTCACAAGAAATCTTGTCCATTTATTCAGGTGATGAATTGAACTTCCAAAGCATCACATTTTCCGGTTTCAAAAAGTCTAAATTTTCTCTTTAAATTTTGCCATTTCAGTCAAGTTCATCAAACAGTGAAGATTTAATGCACAATAATTGCTCTTTTCATCCATTTATTAATATCATTCATTTCATAATGTTTTTCATTTGCATTTTTAAATTAATCCAAGTTTTCCCAAAATGCTCCCTATCAACCTTTTACTCTGCTTAAAAATAATAACCTGTTAATCCAACAAATTGAACCACATAGAACTGGAAACATTAGAGATTATCTTTTTTATCCACTTCATTGTATTTATTAATACATTTAACCCAAAAGATAATAAAGTTGTTGAAAAATGTTTCAACGATAATACCAATGAGATGTGAGAATTATGGCAAAAAAGAAAAAAAAGTAATCTGATTAAACGAATTGTAAAAGGGCGCAAAAAAATGTTGAAATGTTGAGTTGCAGGGAAGAAAAGGGTTTGTCATTTTGCTCTTTAAACATGCAATTTTATTGTTTCGTTTGAAAAATAATAGCTGATTCAAGAGATTTAATATTGTTATGCATTGAAATAGAAATGAATTTTTTCTCATTTTCACTTTTTTTTCTTCTCTTTTCATTTTTTAAATTCAGTTTATTCGGAAAGGAAAACCTTTTGTTTCAAGGAACCATCTTGTTTTCTTGTTTTCTCATCACACTTTTACACTTCTAATCATCCATGGTGCAAGATGAAAGCAAAATGAGTCGCAACGAAATAAAATAATAATGATGATAAATATACAGGGAATGGATAGATTGGGTGAAAGATGAAGAAATGGTGAAAAGTAGCTTACAGTGGAATCCAATTCATTTGATGAAAAAAGTTGGGGTTGAGATGAGCTGAAAAGATGAATTGATGAAGAGGATTTTAAGGGTGAGAATGAAAAGTTGAAAACAAATCTTGAAAATTTCTCAACTTCTTTTCTTTTACCAATTTCATCTTCTTAAGAGTCAAATTCAGCCAATAATCTGAATGGAAAAAGAAGTGAAAGAAGATATCAAAAAAAGTACAACAGTTAAATATCATGCTGGTTGAGCTTTTCATTTCATTAGAAAAAAATTCTTATTTCAACATTGCCAGAAGGAGTTAGATTCAACTTTTCATTATTTCGTGTTCTTGTTACGTTTAACCCTTTTAAATCTCCATCTCAATCTTGAGTTTTTTTTCTGCTTCTTTCCCTTTTTTTAATCTTAAACCTTTTCTCCTCTGAATCTTCTCAATTTACTCATGTTGTTATTGTTTTGCCACAATTTAAATGGAATCAGAATAAACTATTACGAAAAGTAGTCTTTCTGCTTTCAGTTTTCTTTTTCAATTCTGGGGTAAAATGCATGATGAAATTGTATCATCATTAATAAGAAAGAGAAGGAGCAAAAACTTCAGCTTTGCTTTATTTTTTGCTTCTTTGATTCTTACCCACTTGACTTTAGTTTTGTTGTTTCATAAGAAAAAAAATTGTTTGGGTTTTCAGAGGAAAATTAAATAATACTTTTTTATTTGTCTGCTATTGATAGTTGATGTTTACACTTGCCGTTTGTTTTGGCTGCTGCTTGATGGATGGAAGAGGAAAAACAGCATAATCAATTGAAAGTAATTCACCATGCAAATGCGAGTAAAATGTAAAATTTGAGAGTTGATCCAATTGTTTCAATCAACCTGAATTAAAGATGCAAAAGCATTGTTTTGCCAACATAAAGTCATTTTGAAATGAATTGCTTTTTTTGACTCTTCAAATAACATTTCAGATTTTTGCTGTTCAATTATTGTGTATTATCTTTTGCAATAACCAACAGCTTAGTTTTTATATCGTAATCAGCCAGATATTATTGATAATTAGAAACACTAAACATGAGAATATTGTTTATATACAGCTAATGTAGCCAATATGAGTAGACTGTGCAATGTTCATGATACAATCGCTGCAAACTGCACAAAGACAGCAGTCACTACAAGCTCTGAACTCAGAATTTTCGAGTATCGGTGGTGACAATGAAGATGAAGTTGACTGAATACTTGGAGTAGCATTATTCAAATAGGAGTCAGAACAAAATTAGTCAGCTCTATGTAAACACTTTTAAGTATATTTATCGACTCAAAACGATCCAAGCTCACTCAACTTGGTTCATATTCAAAGTATTAATATTTGATAAATTTACTTAAAATCGCTTTATTCAAAAAAATTAGAAGAAGCTACAACTGATCGAACAATATTTTCAACATTCTGTCATTCATGCTTCTCCAATAAAATTATTTTGTGACACTTTTCATAGCTTCTGATAAGACGCTTTATGGCTTACTACATTTTTACACTAAACCGCTTCTCAATGGGCAAAGATATCAGTAAATAAGAAAACGAAATTTTATAAGCTGCATTGAATTTCCAACACTGATTCGCAATGCGCTTCGTATATTCAAAAATAAATAAAGCTGAATTTCTTGTCTGTAAAGTTATGTTGAATGTCCAGACAAATCCAATCTAACGCACGAAAAGGTTGAAGTTGAAATCATTGAATAGAAAGCAGAAAAATCTCTAGATTTGTTTCTATTGCAATTCAAGTGCCAAATTATTTTTTTGCAAATACAAGGTTAAATAATTTCCCATTTAAACTCAGTTCATGTTCAATAATTGCTTCTCTGTAAATGTTGATGAAGCTTTTAATGGCAATTAATGCACAAACTGTAAATATACCATCATGAAATGATCCTTCTCTCATTTATTACCCTTTCTTAGATAACAGACAAAGTCCCATTTTTGTTGGAACCTTTACTGAGCAAATTGTTGAAAGAAAAATCAGCTTATCACTAAAATGTTCAGCCAAGGGTAACCCTTTACCTCAGATTACTTGGAAGCAAGATGATCAGCCAATTAACGAAGCATATCACATCCGAATTGGTGATTACGTTAGTGATGTTTACACAGTCAACAGTTATGTTAACATAAGTTCAACCAAGACAGACGATGGAGGCTTTTACTCGTGCAAAGCAAGTAACATTGCAGGAAGCCTTCAACACACGGCTCGGATCAATGTACTTGGACCACCCTTCATCCGACCAATGGCCAATCTAACAGTTTTATCAGCTCAAAACATTCAAATAACTTGTCCCTACTCTGGTTATCCAATTAAATCAGTGACATGGTTAAGAGGTAAGAAGCTTCACCTTGACCCATTAAAGTGATAAAAGACAATTTCCATTGATGAACAAATCGAACCTTTTCTATTCCAACAATTGTATAAAATCGTGTCAAAAATCAATTGCAATCCAATCAACAAGATTATACACCATTTTCATCATCATTACCCTGAAAACTCTCTTTACTCTCTTTTCTCATTCCATCAGTTCTGTTCATAAATAATATTTCAAATCTCACCATTGACTCGAGTGCTAAATGATGTAACATTTTTTTTCTCTCACTTCTATCACTCATTTAGATCCAATAGCTTGTTACTTTTTTTCAGCTTCATCACAATATTTTGCCAAGTCCATTCCTAGTTAGGTTCAAGAAAAATTCTTGTTTTCCTTTTCTTCTTTTCCCTTGTCTTCCCTTTAACAGGCGTAATGATCATTGTGATACATTTTCATCCCATACTATTGAAGGATATTAAGAGGTTTTTACTTCATCATTATCATCCTCAAGGGTGGAGAAGCTTGACTTGCAAAAGATATGTTACTTGTCACGCAAATTTCCACTTCTCATCATCACCTTTGAAACCAAATAAAATGCACAAATAGAACAATAATAATTGAAGTTGAACAGGAGAAGAAGAAGAAGAAAAAAGATGCACAAGACAGAGAGTCGACGAAAAAGTCAAACATATCATTATCATTTATATTATAAATAACAAGAGGGTTCAACAATTGTTATCATGTAAACCTCAATAAAGTAAAGGGAAAATAATAAAATGGTAAAACTTGAAGAAACCAAACCAATACGATTAACCTCTAACACTAGACAATTTATCTTGGCATAAAAGCAACTTAAATGAATGAGCTCGAAAATTGAACGAAAAAATGTCTTGGAAGACTGATCCACCCTTTCATCACCTTATGGTCAGCTTATGGTTTCATTGAATTTTTAGTTAATCTTTTCAATACTTTTTTCAAACTCGAGAAACAATGTTCTGCTTTCATCATTTGCAAACGCCATTACCATAAACATTGGCCAGTCATTTTCAAGCTGTCTTTTGAATCACCAGTTGAATGGCTCAATTGACTATTTAATATTGCATAAATTTTATGAACTTGAAGATAATGTTTCCTTTTTTTGTCTCTTTAAAAGTAATTGTTGAAAAGGAGAAACAGAATTTCTTTTAATCATTTTGTGAACTTTGTTGTTTTTGTTAAACTTTATTAATCTCTTGAGAGTCTCAATAAAACAAGATGCAATTGAATTTATTATCATCTATTCTGGCCTCAAAATGTATACTTATATTTATATTCATGTGAATAAGGAATGGATAAATGCTTCCCAAGACGTTAATTGTCTTTAACCAAACAATAAATGACAACAATGAGAAGATAAATATTCATCATTTTTTTCTTCTTTTCGTCTTCTTCTTTCGTTATTATTAATATAATGTTATTAATTCTTCAACAATTTTATTTCAATTTTTTAAATATTTGATTGCATTGTCAATTAATCCAACAAAAGCTAGTGATGGCATAGTCGGTCTAGACAAAAATTAAGGGCTAAATTGTACTCCAACAAAATAAGGATGGTCTTTCAGTTCTAAAATTTCCATCCTTCTAGCATCGGACTTTGCCCTACAAAATTCATGCCAGCATCGTCGAGCCGAGATACGAAAAGTTATCCCATGCAGTATTGAATAAATCAATATTTTTTTCGTGTTCTTCCTCTAAATTTGAACTTTCAATAAAGAGCCATTTTATTTTGGCACCTGCAGATGTGGCTGCGTGCTCAGTTGCTTTGAGCACTGATGCATATGCATCATTTGATTTGTGTATTTTCCAACTTTTGCAATTTTTAGATTTGAATTTGTTATCTCGCTGACTTTCAGAAATTTGTTCCATCCAGAAAGATCTATTTTAATATTTTCATCCAAATTGAAATAGTCAATTAAAATATTGCGAATTCCTTGCTCTACCAAGTGGAGCTGAACACAATATAGTGCCGTATCAGGCACTGAAATCACTTTTTCATCTGTTAAAGTGCAGGCAGCTGCTAGTTTAGAGTGGGTAGCTGGAGTTAAAACATTGGGTGATTCATAGATTAGCTGCAAATAAAAAAGAGAAAGTTTATATAGAATATTATAAATAAATCATAAATGTAATAATTAGTAAATGATAATACACTGGTAGCTGCAGTTAACGCAACAAATGGGTCAATTTTCACCATAGTCGCCATCTATTAGATCATACAATTATCTTCAAGGTCGAGCATTAATTACACATTAAAGTCTCTAAAACAATAAAATACCAAAGATACCTAAAAATTGCGTAGAGTGAAACCCCAATTTGTTGCGTTAAGTGCAGCTACCAGTGTATTTAAAACTTACCAAATCAGGATTAAGACCATAAGATCCCAGCGCTGCAAATGATCTTTGTGTTGGCTGGTCATTATTAAATTCAATTAAAAATGAAACATGTACATGTATCATGTTTCGTAAATTTTTTGGTCCAACTTTTAACTTGAATTGTCGATTTGCTGCTATCAAAGTCATTGATTCGATGTCACAAATTGTACTTCCAAGTTCATTTACACAGACTTGTGTATTTATTTCTTGTTCGTAATCATTGGAGATTGTTTTACCGAAACACTTGTAACTCAATTTTGGATTGCATCAGTAATATGAGGCCCAACCTGTACCAGGCGTTTTTTTTCATTTTACGCCTTCATTCAGGCATAACTCACGAACTGTTAGTGCTAAAGACTTCAGACTCGAACCATGAGCTTATACAGATTGCACAACGATAAGTTCACGTGCTCAGGGTTATTCAAGGTCAATTCATACCATTGGAAAGATGGAATGAATTTTTCCTGATCAACTGAATGTTAAGGGATCACCCATATCCTTTAGCCAGTATGAGTTATGAACATGTAACTAACAATATCGGTTCAGAAAAATTTTGCGCTTTCAGAAAATGACCTTTCAATGTCAATCAGAGGTCAAATAAAGAATTGACCTAAATAACCTTGAGCACTTGAACTTATCGTTGTGCAATCTGAATAAGCTCATGGTTCGAGTCTGAAGTCTGTAGCACTAAACGTTCGTGAGTTATGCCTGCATGAAGGCGTAAAATGAAAAAAAACGCCCGGTACAGTTTTTACTAAATATTTACCGTCTCTTTCGGTGGCACTAACTTTTCGAAAATTTTTTCCTGTTGTTATGATATGTTACGATGTCAGGCGTAGACCCAAAAATCGTTCATAATTTCCAATGTTCAAATCAACTGCACCACCATCGTTCAACACATAAACCTCACCTGTGAAAAAATAGAAATAAAAATAATTAAATATTTTAAGATAAAAACAAAAATTCAATGCAACTCAACATGCTCTGATAGGGAGAAAGTCTCGGCATCAATGTTGATATAAGGGTCGATTTTTGGATATCTTTTTTGTTCCGTTTCGAAATTGTTACCCATTGAAATTTATTTCTAATCATGATAATGATCAAAATATACTTATATTTATATTCAAGTGAATAAGGAATGGATAAATGCTTCCCAAGACGTTAATTGTCTTTAACCAAACAATAAATGACAACAATGAGAAGATAAATATTCATCATTTTTTTCTTCTTTTCGTCTTTTTCTTCTTCTTTCGTTATTTCTCTTCGTTTTTGCTTCTTTTTTTTCAAGTTAATTTCTATTCTAATCATCCTCATGATGATCATCATTTTCGTTATTAGGATGATGATGATGATAAAATTGTGATCATCTTGTTAATCATTAGTTTGATCCATTATTGAGATTAGATTAATTTGGTTTGAAATGAAATAAACTATTATTTGTGGCCACTTAAAGGTCTTTTCATGAAAAGTGCAATATCATCATGAAAATAACAGAATAAAAGGTTAAATTCTATCAATTGGATTTGCATCTTATTTCTTTTTCTTCTTCTTCTTTTTTCGTCTGCTTTTCTGTCCTTCTGTAGTTCACTTTACATGCATTCTAAGCGAAAATTTTCCAACATGTAAAAGTGAATGAATGATATTCTGAAGCGAACAAAGTAAATGCATTTAATTGATGTCCCATTAGAATAGTCTAGTTTATCATGTTAACATGAAACTAAAGACAGTGAATACTAATGAATTATCTTCAAATTATTCATCTTTTAGAAGCTCGTTCTCTGGACACAAATTTTCTTTGTCACATCTCATTTCATATTGTTACTAAATCATTCAAGTTCTCATAAAAAGCAGAATCCGAACATTTTGCCAAAATTTTTCAATTTCGATCAACGATTCGCGCAAAAAAATAATAGACAACAAACCATTTATTCAACACTGATAACGAATTTTGTTGACGAAAAAATGTTTTCCACAAAATTTTCCAATCGAAATATCCAAATGATGAATAGCTACAGATTTCACTGTAATCGATGCAAACCTTTGATTTGTGCGTTTATGCAAATTGAAAATTCTGATGGATAAGTCGCTTCAATAGACTTTGATTTGCAAAAGATTGATATTTTTCCATTCCATGTGTTTTGGATAAACAGTTGTCAGAATAAGCGAAAACTGAAAAACTCCAAAAGAGGCAAAAACTTTGCAAGGAAAACTATTATTGTTATTCGTTTCTGCAAAGCTCAACTCAGAATGTTGGTAAAAGAAAAAAAATGAAGAAAATTCTTACCATAAGCTTCACTATCCAACCAACATGATGCAAAAATTTTTCATCTGAAAAAATACATTTTCTCTTTTGTTTCCCTCATTCTTTGTGTCTTATATTTCATAGTAATTTGCTTTCTGCAATTCTTTTGTCTTCTCATTGCTTTAATTATCCAACATTTCATTTCTCATATCAAACAATTTCACTCATCAACATTATCATATTTCCCTCATTTTTGAACAGCAAGCTCAGTAACCACAAAATATTAGTTTTTAAACTCATTTTCAACTCTTGTGAGAAACATTTTTTTCTCTCTTCTAATTTTCATATTACCTTTACAGGTTTCCTCTTTCCCATCATGTCATCATGCTTTACTGTTTCATTGTTATCTCGCTACATTCTTTGACAATTATAAGTATCTAAATGGAAAATGAAAGAGCAAAAAATATGAAAAAATTCAACGAAACAGTAGCAACATCATTCCAAGACAAGTTGTTTTTCATTCAAAATTACAAGAATTATCTTTTTCGATTGTTTTTTATTGCTTGTTACTGTTGAATTTTCAATGAGTTTGTTTCGTTTCTGCTCTTGATTCATAACTAGCATGAAATAACTGGGAAGAAGAAAGAAATCATTCGAATCTTTTGATTCCAACAACATGTATGATAAGCTCAATTATTTGGGAGAGAATGTTATCAAAGAAATTTTGGATGCAATTAAGAAATTTTTGTTCACTTGTTGATCTGATTGAAAATTCATGTGCTTTTCCATTCAAATTATGCTTATTTGTGCTGGAAACTAATGATTATTTGGAAACTTTGAAACTCAGCTTTCCATATCATTTATCTGATTGTCTCATAGAACCATGATATTATCAATTTTTTCATTATACTGATGAGTGATCTGATGATGGTTAATGTTTTCCAAGTTGCCCAAGAAAACAAAACGATAGTTTATTGAACAAACAAAAAACTCGTTCAAGCAATTAGAGGCTGAGTTGTGCAACAAGTTGAGCAAATTCATTTTCATTGCCGAGACAACAAAATAGAGCGAAAAGTCTGTAAATCTTCGTTTTTTGATTTTCCATCGCTTTCGAATCTATGAGTTTACACTTTAAAAGTTGTTTGAGAAGAGTTGATTGTCGATTTTCCAGGGAATATATTAGTCAAAAGATTTTCCACATTCTAAGAACTTATGACAAACAATTTGAATCTAGAAAAGATTAAACTCAACTCAGCATATTTACATTTGAAAACAAGTTGTTAGCGACTATTGAAACTGGAAAGAAATGCGTAAAGAAAATTGTGAATGAAATGAATAAAATATCTTTTCCTGTTTTTCCTGGTTCAACCTTATTAGTGGACAAGTCTGATTGACGAAAAAAAAGTCGAGGTTAAATAGAGTGGAATAGCAATTGAAAACTACTCTTCTCTTTCATTCCATCTCATAAGATACTTCAAAATGACGTTTTTCACCTCATCTCAGTCTTCATCATCTTTATCGTTGTCAAACTTTTCCCTCCACCAATCTTCATAAAGAAGAGTGGAAAGGAAGAGAGAGAAAAAAATTCCAAAAGGAAAGAGAAGCGAAAAGAAAAAAAAGTAAGAAAAAGAGAAAGAATGAAAGTAATGTCAAATTTTTTCAACATTTTTGTAATCGAAATGAGCAAACCCAGGGAGAAAACAATCTGACGAATGAATATTGAACTGAAAGAGAAGCGAAAAGAGCAACATTTCAAGGAAAGGAGAGAGCAAGTAGAGTCGAAATTCTGAACCATTGGACAAACAATTTTCGTTTCCTTCATTTCGTTTCTTTCCTCATTTTTTTCACAATCACTTTTCTTCCAAGTGAAAGAAAATATACATTTCGCAAAGCCTTATAATGTTGCACTCTTTATCCTTTCAAACTTATCTTCCCTTCTCTCATCACATTCACCCTCATCATGCTCATGTTTTAGCGCATTGAACATTTTCTTGTTTCTTTCTTTCTCTTCCTTCAATCTTCTCTGACAACTTGAAATTTCATGTTTAAAAACAAAGTCAACAAAGGGAAAGAGCAAAGACAAAAGATGTGAAACCCTTCAACAGTCAATAGTATCTTTAGCTTTTTTTTTCAGTACAATTGACTTTATGTTTTCCCAACTTGTTCACACCTAACATCAACATCATAATCACCCATCATCATTTCATTGTTTATCTCATTCTCAGTTTCAACATTTTCTTTAGTTGCTCTTCCATCATCATGCTTCTGTTATCATGCCTTTTGTTTTCTTAGAGCTTCTTTTAATTGCAATTATCAAGTCAACCGAGGGGAAAAATTATGATGAACATAAACAGACGGGAAAACATGTTCAATTGGAGTGCAAAGGAAGAGAAACAATAAACTGTCAACAATGAAACTAGAATGGGTTTACTCGACATTTCAACGAGAAAAAATTCGTTTACTTTAAACTCTTTTTTCATCAAAACTGACACAAAACTATTTAAATTCAAGTTGACAAAAAACTGGGCAAAATTGAAAAGAAAATGAAAAATTCATCCAAACTCATTTGCAACTCCACTTTGAAACTTTAAAAATCTTCATCACTAATCTTGCATTTATTTCTTAAGGAAAATCATGAAAAGAAATTGTGAGTTGAAGTTATCAAACAAACTGTATGAGAATAGAGAATGAAATCGAAGGGAGTGAAAATTCTTGACTGGGAGTTGATATTTTTTCCGTATTTTATGACTTGGAGTTGAAGATAAAGCTAAAAAATTTTGTTGGAAATATTTTTTTGTGTCTTCGAAAGTCAAGTATTTTGAAGAAATTCTGAAGACAGTTTGGAGTTATGATGTTTAGTGATTGGTAGATTAAATGTTGACTTGAAAATATTCATTAACAGAATAAAGAAAACATATTGAATACAATGTAATTCATATCTGATAATGAGAATCATGATTTGTTCATCAATGTTTTTTCCTTTTCTTTTCCTTCTCTTTTTGTCACCATTCATCTTGTCTCACTTTGTTTCCCTTCCCTTACCGCCTTTATCATTATCAAAACTTATTCTCTGCTCAGATATTCCCTGTTAATCGATTAACTTTTCTCATCTTATTTCTTTTCTTTTCCACCTTTCCATCTGGTTCCACTTTAACCATCAATTTTACTCCTTCAACTGAAACATTCAATTCAACTCTAAAAGATGGACGAAAGTTGCCTCAAAATCACCGGCAAAAAGTTTTCCTCAATGGAACCTTTGTGATAAACAATGTTGAAAAGGGTGCCGATGCCGGTCAATATCAGTGTGCTGTTACCGATGAAGATGGAAGGACAGCAAAACGAGACTTATTCATCAACGTAGTCGGTAAATGGACAAAAAATTTAATCATTTTGCATTCTTTTCTCACATTTCTTTTCTTTCCAGTCTCACCAATAGTCCAGCCCTTCTCCTTTCCTGTCGACCTAGTCTCAGGACGACGAGCAGGTGTTGCTTGCATAGTATCGGCCGGAGACTTGCCAATCAGGATAACATGGCTAAAGGATGGAGCAGTCATTCCCGAGTCTCTCATGCCCATGGTTGACACCAAAGACTTTACTTCTTTCCTGACTTTTGATAAAGTGTCACGATCTCATCGGGGAAACTACACTTGCCTTGCCGAGAACCCGGCCTCAACCTCAAACTATACTGCACCACTAATTGTCCAAGGTAAGCCCAAGTCACTGGCAAATGTTGAAAGTAATGTTTGGTGATTGAAACTCAAATCAAAAGTTGAATGAATTTCCATCAAAGTTTAATGGTAATCATGTTGGTAAACATTTACTCTTGTAATGTTAAATATTTAAACTCAATGATATTGTTTACCCTGAAATGAATAGTGAAAAGAGCAAAATGAATTGTAATTTTTTGCTCTCAAAACTTGAAATGAATGATTTGGCTCATTGCAAGTGAAACTTTTTCAATCTTTTCTTCTTTTCTTCTTTTTCTGCATTATTTTTCCATTTTCAATTCAATAACTTGCCAACCTATTTCAAGTTTCATTTTTTGTTCTTGAACCGACTTTTTGCTTCAAGCTTTTACTACCATTATTATAAAAATGTCAACACAATTTGATACGCTTGATGCCTTAAGTAATATTACATTCATGAACTTGAAACAATTCACTTTTACTTCTTGAACTGAACAGCTTTTAGTACATTGAGAAGGGTTCAAAAAAGAGCTCAAAACAAAAGATGAAAACTAAACATGATAATATAAATGTAAATACTTGAATCTTTAAATGTTTAGTTCAAGTAAATGGAACAAGAACAAAAAAAAGATTTTCTTCGACTTTTTTCGTCTCTTTTTACAAGCCAGTTTCAAACTTCAGATGTTGACCTTTGAATATTTAGTCTGATTCTGAAAGATTGAAGCCATTGAGACGATATTGATTCATCATCAAGAGGGAATTGAAAGATGCTTCAATAATGAAAAATGTCTTTCACCTCTTTATCAACTTATCTTCATCACTTGAAACTATGCGAATCTTGTCATTGATATTTTTGGAACATTTTTCAACAATCTTTTTCTCTTTTCGCAACATCATGACAAGTTCATTGAAACATCATTTTTCCATGTATTTCCACCAAACTCGATTGTTTAAACAACATTTTTGTTATATTTTAATGTTAAATATTTTTTGCAATTTTCGCTTTTTTTCGTAAAGTAAATTGTTGGATTTTTTCGAGAAGAAAAATATTTATCTTTTCATTGAATGCCAATAGATTCAAAAGAGATTTAATTTTCAAGGAGAAGAAAATGTTTTTCCAAATTCTGAGTGATAGAACTTTTTCTTATTCTTTTTCTTTCTGTTTTTTTGACTGATTATTTTCAACTCTTTGCGATGCTTTTCAAGATGAGTTATCAAAGTGTTGAGTGAAAATGTAAACTTTTCTCATTCTTTTGTTTTTCAATGAAAATTCATGTTGAATAATACAAGTAACAAGTCAAATGTTGCCATTGATGATATTGTTTACCTTTTTGTTTCACCTTTTCCTTCTTTATCAAACAATTTCAACTCTTGATGATTAATTTCACCATTTTTGTCTTTCAATTTTTCTTTCACTTTTCCTCTTTTTCCTTTTATCAACCTTTGGAAAAGTTCATTTTTTGTTGAAACTTCTACTCTCAGCTCATTAGTTTATCTTTACTTTGCATGACAATAGCTGAAGCAAATGAATCATGCAATATCGAAGGTAACATTTTCATCTCATAGAAATGCTTGGCTAATGTTAATGTTTCAACTATTCAGAATTTTTTGATTTCGAACATTGCATTTCCAATCTTACTGAGTCGTTGAAGTTATCGTTTTTGATTTAGAAGTATTTCCTTTTAATTGGTCGCAAACTCGAGTTTCATAGAGCAGAAGTCGTCTGAAAATTCAAGTGCTAAATGGGTTATAAAAATGAAGCAAAGTGTAATAAAACAGAATCATTTGCGGGTTGAAATAGATTGAAACGTGAAATAATTTGTACGATAAAGTGTAATGAGTGGAAAAGGGAAGGAAAACAAAAACGTAAAAAGTAATTTTATCCTTTTCTTGTGAACATAATGTTTGACCATAAGAACTCCCTGAGAATTGAAGAGAAAATGATCGGCCAAAGAGATGAATAAGAGATGGACAGAGAAGCGAGAAGAGGTTTGAAAAAGAGGAAAACAAATTATAGTTTAAGCGCAACTAGAAAAGTCTTATCCAATGCAGTATTATCTGACTGGGTTAAATGTTCAATATCAATCTCATGGTAAAAAGAGAAGAAGAAGAAGAATGGTGAAAAGAAGAATAAAGAAGTTTTTATATTGTATTTGGTATAAAGAAGAAGTGAGTCAAGACTAACCACATATTTACACGTTTACTGACATTGAGTATCCAACAGTATAATAATATGTATCAGTTGCTGGGAGTTGAAATATTATATTGCTTACAGATGAACATGGTAAAGAAGGAAAAGAAGAAAGAGAGAGAGAAAACGAAGGTTATAATTGGTCATATCATTTCACTTGAATTAGGATGGATGTTAAACATTGTTGAGGTCATCTTGTAGTGTACATTGCTCTAGTTTGCAACATTATCTTCATCATCATCTTTTACTATCTCATTTCACTGTTTACTATTTTGTCTGTTATTTTTTTTTCTTTAGCCTTTTTCGCTGCTTCGTTTTCATTTACAAGAATATCATTTGAACGTAATGCTATTTTTTGCCTCCTTCTTGGGTTATAATTAAATTACTTGGACCAGATACTATTTGTTTAAGCAGGAGATGAAAAAAAATAAGCGAAGATGATGAGGATAATTATGATGAAGATGAACATCAGTAATGGAATTGGAGTAGGAGAAAAAAGATGTTGAATAAAGAGAGGAGTAAAAATGATCAAATTATTCGCGATATTATGGCAATATTATTTGGTGATGATGAGGGTAATGATGAGCTTGATGATTATGATCATCTTCATTACAGTGATTCATACAGAAATCAAGGCGCAAAAAGATAATACAATTCAAATATTATCGTTTTAATGCTTGATAGGAATGAAATGGAAATTATGAGTTATTTAAGAAACTACTTTATTAGCAAGAAAAGTGATTCTTTGTCAAGGTTTCGATTCGCAGCCTTTTTTCATTTTATTCCATGTATTTCGAAGAGAAACAATAACGAATAAAGAATGATTATAATGCAAGCTAAAATAAGTCGTATCTTAATGTCGTTTAGTCGGATGGATTGCTAAATCAAAAAAATATAAATCCAGCGTTCTACGGCCATGCAAAATTAGACAGTTATTTGACCTCTGAATGACATTTGAAGACGACTTTCTGAGAAGACTGGCTTTTCGCGATCAATTTCGCGATCTTTTTTCATTTTACGCCTCCAGGAATAACTCATGAACAAATAGTGCTACAGCCCTCAGACTTGAACCATGAGCTTGATGATGAGCCATTCAGATTGTACCACCATAAGTACGAACGCTTAAGGTTATTCAAGGTCAATTCTTTATTTGACCTCTAATTGACATTAGAAGGTCATTTTCTGCAAACGCATAATTTTTCTAACTGGCTGATGTTTGTCACATGTTCAAAAATTTTAACATTTGAAAAATTGAAATTTTTCATAAATGCTATTGATTAACTGTACATGCAAGTACTCATATCCTTTAGCCAGTATGACTTATGAACGTTGAAGAAAAGCGGCTTCCAGCCAAGCAAACCAATGGAAGTCCAGTGAATATCAGTTACAGCCAAAGGTGAAAAAAATGTTTATCAAGAAAGAAAACCATCAGAAATTTCAGTGTTAAGCAAAAGAAAGGTCGAAAAATTTAATGTAATAATTGCACATTTGTTGAGCGTAAATGTATGATGTGTCCTTTAAAGCAAAGGAACCGTAGGCCCTTTTTTCGAGACAAAATATGTATGTAGTTGCTAGATGGACTACGAGCCGAATAACAGCCAAAAAAAATCAGTCACATTAGCTGAAATGCCCTGTATATCACAAAGAAAACTGCAGCACTAGCACCCTGAATAGTTGAGATGAAGAATATCACAGTTTCAATCAATCACTTCTCTATTCACGAAAATATGCTTTCATTGAGCTGATTCTCGCAACATTTTTATCGGCTTATTCTCAATCCATTTCAATATTGTTATCAAGGCAAAATTTCAAACAATTTTGGTTATAAAACAAACTGTAAGCTTTCATTGAAAAAGATGATAAAAAAGTTGAACCTTTATTCTTCTTCTCATTGGTCATTACGGTTCAATGTAAATATTGCTATTAATATGCTCTTTTTTCATATTGAAAATCAATTTACAAGCCAATTCTTTTTCCCTCCACTAAACAAATGAATACATGATGGCTAAAGTAACCCTGAATTTACCTTTTCTCAATCTTTTCCTCTTTATCATTTTCCGACTTCATCTTTTCAACATTTTTTATCCACCACATAATACCAAGATATCAAGAAAAAAAAGTTTCTCAATCTTTACAATTCTTTATTCGTTAGAAAAATCTTCTTTCAAAGACTGCAAGAAAAGAAAGGAAAAATGTGAAAATCTTTCAAAAATTCATGATGCAAGTTATAAAGATACAGATTAAGAAACTGAATAAAGTGTTATTTACTCATCAACATCATTTTTCCACATTCAGTCAAACCTGATCAACCTTCAACCAGTCCATTAACTTTTTATTGGTCAACACCAATCATTTCCAGAAAAGAAAGAAAGAAATCTTTTAAAAGAAAATTTGCTTTTTCCTGTTTTCCTTCTTGATATTTCCTGAAACAATTTCACCAACCCAAACTTGATTGTATTGATTCAATGAAAATTATCATTAGAAAATGTTATTTCTCCAAATGATTTTCAAAACCCTCTCAACATAATCTCTCACCATTTAACCCAAATTAACATTTCTTATTCATTTCATTATCTATTTATTCAACTAATTGTTACCATCTTATTCGTTGTTTGCTCACCTTCAATTACTGGCTTCATGTATGAACATTTTCTTTTTTTCTCGTTTTCCCAAAATTCTCACTCCATCGGAATAATTCTGTAATCCAGATAAATCCATCATAATGAGCTTCAGTTAAACAGAGTGAAGACTTGCAACTCAAATGGCTGGTCAAACCTTTTCTCATTCAACCCTTTTCCTTAATCAGCTTGTACGGTACATTTAGCTAAACAAAATTGACGGCAGATTTAACTGCTCATCATCATTATCTTTTCTCATCTTTTTTCATTCCAATCATTCTCATTGCTCAACCCATTCTGACTAAACCCATTGATACAATTTGATCATCGTAATGATAAAGATTTTCACTTTTACCACTTCACAATTGGCTCTTGATGATAACTCTTCATGTTTGAATAAAAACAACATCAAAGTAGTCAAACAGAGAAAAGAGCATCTTCCATTTGTTGACATTATTCCGATAATTTATAGACATTTTCGAGTTTTTCTTTTCTTCGACTTTTTGTCCAACAGAAAATTTCTGTTCAACTTTTACTGGTCAATTCACAATTGCATCTTCATCTTTTACTTGGCTTTACTCTTCCACAATCCTTATTATCATCATCCTTCTGTTAAGATAATCTGTTCACTGAAATACATTAAGCTGTATTTAATCAAAATCCAATGAGATTTTTATGGACGAAAATACCTAATTGAGGTTTTTGTTCCCAACTCATTGTATCAAAAATGATGAACAATGAAACTAGAAGAAAGAAGAAGAAAGATACAAATCTAAATCATCAGAATGATCATTATTAGCTGTAGAAACTGTACATGAAGTGAGACTGAATGAGAAGAGAAAAAATGAGAAGAAAACCAAAAAAAACCATTATCAAGACATATCGAACTGTACAACAATTTAATTCATTATTCCTCAATCATTTACGATAATCATTATTGTTTGCAAACAAGAACAAGCTTTGACAAGAAAATTTACTTTTCATTGTCTAACCTTTTCCGTTTTCATGTAATCGTCAAATCATAATACAACCAACAAAATTTTGACACAATTTTTGCTCTTTTAGTCAATCGACAATTTAAGCTTCAAGTTAAGTTGACAAAAATTATGTTTGACATTTGAGATAATTACGAAAGAAGTTGAAAATGCTCAGAATTTCGAGAAAATTAATGAACAGTAAATGTTGAAATGTGAATGAAAAAACAAAGACAAGTTGTTAGACAGAATCAAAGTGGCAGTTATCAGTTAATTGTTGGTTGCTCTTTAGTTTTACAGAATGTGTTTTGTGGGAATGAAAAAAAGGTCAACAATTAGTCGAGAAAATCTGTAAACAAGAACGATTATTTTTTCCTTTTGCCTTTCGTTTCTGCTTTTCATGGAAAAGTAAGAGATTTGTTGGAATCTAATGAGTCTTGTCTTGAGCATTCTAAACGGATTAATTCACTAATTAAGCTGATGAGAAATAAAGGTAAAGCGACTGAATGAGAGACTGAAGGAAGAAAGGAATTCAGAAGAATAAATCAATACAATTATTTATATAAAATGGACTTGATCTTAATCTTTTCTTTTTTTTCTCTTCTTTTTCTTCTTCTCTTCCCAATCAAGTGCCTCCAAGTTGGATTGTTGAACCTAAAGATAAATCTGTGATCAAAGGTAATTCATTAACATTGGATTGTCAAGCTGATGGATCACCAAGACCGATTATCCGTTGGAAAAAATCAACTGGTAATTAAACCATTACAAATCATTTCTTGTTCAATTTGCTTTTATCATTCCCAGTTTACCTCGGATTTATCCTCATTACCTCTTTTCGAGCAACTTTCCTCTTTTTCTATTTTTCCTACCAAAATCTTCGCTCCTTTGCTCATATCGAAGCAGACACTACACGAAAGCAAAGCATCTTTTTTACAATAGAACTCATGATTCAGAGTTTTCAGCAAATCAAAAAATAAATAAGGAAAGTTTATGAATAAACGTCTCTAATTATCGAAATTTCAGAAACTCCAATTTTACCATTAACCTGCAAATTTCTTAAACGGAATAATATTTTCTATTGAAATCCAATGCTTATTCTTCAAAAATTTTGAAAGCTCGGAGAAAATGAAATCTCTTAGGAAATTCGGTCTTTAATTTTCAAAGTTACACAATTTTTGAAACTCATATTGAACGACTGATGAAAATAAAGATACAAATGATATCAATGAATAACTGTGGATTAGATCTTCCAATTTTTATGATTCAAGCCATGCTTGGAGATTAAATTCATGCTCATTTAGGACTTTTCATGGAGACTAAATTTTTACTTATGCCTTTCGTCTTATTTATAATGCTATTAATTAGTTCGTTAGAATTTTGAGCCACGAAGCATCTTTCATCAGCATGAAACTCAGGTTAACTATGAATTGAGAATAAATCAAGATACCTAATTTTAGGAGTCGCAAGTGCATGTGAGGACTTTACATTCAGCAACTTATTTAGAATTGACATTTTTGAAAATACAGAGATCCAAGTTTTAAAATAGTCGAATAAAAATATAATTCTTGAGATATTCTAAAATAGATACTGGATATCAACCATGTTCAGATGTAAAATTCCAACACTTCATCTCTTTTAGTTTCTGTAAAACGATTATCTTATCTGTCAAAAATTCTCGCTTCTTGGGTTAAAGTCATTGAACATATTAAATCTAGTTCGTTACTGCTTTTTTCTCACCTTGGAAACATTTTCTCATCTTTAACCGGATATCATTATCATTTTATATCATGGTCTAGTTTATCATTACTTGCAGTTTATCCCAACATTTTACTGGGAAACAGCAGTCTAAAGATCAAGTTAAATATTACTTTTCCCACTTTACCAACATTAACCTTATCTAATCATCATTTATCAGATGAAAATTGGGTGGTGAAAAGAATCGAAAAAAATGGGCCAATATTTTTCTCTTCATTCATTTAATCATTTTTCATCCGTAGCTAAAAGTTTAACCAAAACTTGCGAGTCTTGAACGAAATTCGCAAGATTATCAATTCTTCTTGTTCAAACGTAAATCCAATATTTCATTTAAAATAGTTTACAGCTTAATAACAACTTTCAAATCCAATAACTTTCGATTGATCATCAATTATCAATCAAATTTTACTTCGAAAATAATTTTCTGAAAAACTTTTCAAATTTTCGAAACAGATAAAATTCGAAGCTCAGATTTTTCTCATTTGTCCAAACTTGCCACTGATAGAGTTATCAATGAATGTTGGGTTTTCGAGATTTTTTTTTCCTAGAAAATTCTATTTTTATGAACAGTGGAATAATCAAAAGTAAATGTTTATATCTAAAAAGGAATGGCTTTGACATGAAAGAATCTGAATGAAACAAAAGATATTTTTAGCACAATTTAATTCAACTCAGCGGATCACAATTTCAACTCAAATCTTTTGACCCTTTGTTGACCAATGAATAAATGTTGACATTAGTTGATATTGATTTTAATCGTTCAAGTCACCCTGTTATTGATTGACCAAGTAAAACAAAAAGAGTCTCTCAAAACTGGTAGACAAGTTGATCAAACCAGTAAATGCAAGTTGAAAACCTTTGACTTTGCTTCCTATTTGAAGGTGAAATATGATTGAGGAAAGTTTCCTTTAACATTCATGTAAATGTTGAACTAAAACAGTGAAACACAAAAAAAAACATTATTGAATGGTTTAAAGGGAAGGAAAACAGAATGATGAATGGACAGAGAATAAGGTGAACAAAATGTACCTTTCAACTTAATTAATGTAACATTAATTGAAATGCTGAATAATGCTATTTAAACATTTGCAACAAATGTTTACACACAAATCAAAAGTCGATGAAACATTTTTACATGTTCTAAGGCTTAAACACCTTTTAATATTAGAAATAGTTTAATTATGAAAATTTAATAAACAAAGATAATAAGTTTGAAAAGGTTTTCAGTTTTTTACAGTAGATTGCTAATCATTTTTGAAGTCCCAGTTTCCCTAATTTGGAGTCCAAAATTGTTGCAAGAAAAGACTTCATGTCTGTAAACTACTGGGTGTGCTTGTGCCTTGGTTCAAGCAATTGCAGCTATTCTGCCAATAAAACGCATTCGGAGGGAAAAAACTGATTCAGTTCGAAGAAAAGCTTAACTCTGAACCAAATTACCGATATTTCCTATTCTCATCATTATACTCGTTATAAAGGTGAACATCTTTGGTTCAAAATTTGCAGGAAAAAATTCTGTTTTAGCGATAATGAGCATGGAAAAGCACAAGATGAAAGTTTCGAAAATTTCGTTTTCTTTATTCTTGAACATTTCGATTAAATCTTCATCGCTTAGCCAAACACAAGAGTGAAAAATAGCATCAGTTTTGGAAAATAATCAGGGTTGGAATCATGAAAGAAAAACAAGAATGATAATTATTGGGTAAACTTGGAATTGAACAGTTGGTGTTATTACAAAGTGCAATCAAAGAAAAATGTTTTCCTTTTTTTCATTCTTACTCTAGCAAAACTTGCTATGAAAAAAAAAACATTTGAATTCAAATTATGTAAATTACATGCTCAAGAAGATACTAAAGATGGGTAAAGATGAAAATGATGAAGAAGAGTTTTTTCAGTTGCAACAAAAGGAGAACAACATTGAATACAAAAAGCAGAAAAAAAGACGAAAAGAATGAAAAAATTTCTTCACATTTTTGGTTCATTATCATTTTTCAGCTGAATAGCATATTATGATTCTCATATTATTTGTTGATATAAATAGTTGAATGATAATAACATTACCTTGCGCTTTTTAAATGCTTAAGCTTCAATTATCTTTTGTTTTTTTCTCACAACTTTTTTTTCTCTTTTCGCTTCTCTTTCAAATCGATTGTGAATTTTAATATTATTATTATCATATCATCAAATAATTTCATTTTAAACACACTTGAATTGAAACGTAAAATAAACATAACAACCTTAACATGATTGAGTTGAAGTAAATTTTGAATAATGAAATTTGAATAATTTATCTTTTATTATCTATCGCTTGTATCACTTCACAGCTTGGAGTGAAAAATGAAAATTTGATAATCGATTTTACTCTTGATATTTTTACGCTCTTTATTCGTCGATGAAATTAGCGAAGAGAACTGAATCGTTTTTGGTTGACTTTGATTGAAATTTCATGAAATCATTTTTGTTCTGCTTTCGAGTTGAGGTAACGAATTGATATCAAAACCTAGCTACGGTTAAACATGTTTATCATTTTCCATGGTTTTCATTAATTTATTCAGCCTGAATTCCAGAGGTTGAAAATGGAATATCTCAAGCTGAGATTTAACCATGAAAATGGCATTTCAATGGAAGGATAAAAAGAATAGAATATAAAATTCAATTTTTTCTTTTAGTTATGAAATATTTCTCTTTTTTTACAATTCAATTGGAATAATATGTTGGTCTTGAATTTTTGTTAGCATCTGTTGGTAGACACAATATTCATGAGCCATGAGGCAGTATTGATAAAAACTGAGTCAATCATTGACTATTGTTGCAGTGCCAAGTAACAGTTGAATTTGAATCTTTAAGTGGCCATGAATTTGGTAAAAATAATGTTTAGTCAGCAAAAGGAGAATCTTTGTTTCGCTTGAGAAAATAAAAGGTTGAAAGGATTTTCGAGAAATTTTCCAATTTCTTAGTTTTTCGACTTTTCGAGACAAAATTGATTTGCAAGTGAAACTGCATTACGATGGCTTAAGGTTAGAGTTTCCATAGCTTTGATATTTTACTAATATTGATTCAATGGAAGTGTTAGAATGACGATTCGGATTTTCATTATCGCTGAAATTTTGATTGATCAAGTTTGAAAGAAAAAGTTTGATTCATTGATGAATAATTGTATTCATAATTAGTATTTACTGTTCAATATCCAAGTTGATGATGTGATTATGGAATGAAAAATGGAAACGAAAAAATGATTTTCTCTTGAATTAATGATGATTAATGTGTAAATATTGAAAAAATTGTGATTACAAGAGCCATCTGAATGATAAAAGTTGAACATGATGATCGGGTGTGTCCAGAATAAATCCACCCATAATTACAGAAGAAATGAAATAATTGCTTTCGAATTTTTTGGTAATAAAAAGAAGAAAAATGCTTTATTTCTTTATGCATAAAGAGTCTGTATTTTGACAATTTCATGAGTTTTATACTTTCTTTTCACTTTTAGATGGCGAAGATTTCAAAGTTGTCATAAGTAATGCCCACATTCAAACCCTTGAAAATGGATCGTTAACCATTCGTGAAGTGGCCAAAGAGGATGCCGGTCATTACATGTGCCAAGCCATGAACGGAATCGGTCCTGGTGCGAGTATGGTTGTTAAAGTAACAGTTGCAGGTAAAAAGTTAAACCCTTTATTCGACTTGACTCGAAAAAAATTTGTCAAGCAGCTACAGTGAAAGGGACAAAATTGAGAAACGCCGATTGTCTAAGCTAAAGAAGTTTTTGAGAAAAAAATCAGATCTTTTCAGATAACATCAAGATGATTAACATGCGGATGCTTTAATGAAAAACTTTGGCATTAAACTTTTCAGAATTTTCTGTCTAAGAATTTTTCGATCTGGTTCAGTTATTTTGACTCCTTATAAGGGTTAACCAATTTATCATTGAAAAATTTAACCTAAAAGTTGTTTGCACATTTTCCCGTATAGTTGCTGCTCACTTTGAGAAAAAATTTGAAACTCATACGGTCAAGTTGGGTCAAGATCTGACAATCCGGTGTGTTGCTATTGGTGATAAAGGTGAGAACAATGACATTTTATTTTTAATTGAATATGGAATAACAGTAAATGCGAATTAAATCAAGGTTCATTACTTTTTTGTCACATTAGTTATAATTGAATGAACAAACTTTACATTTTCAAATTTTAACAACATTTAATGTTATCGATACGAGAAACAGACAAAAAGAGGATTGACTTTTGCTACTTGAAGATCTTACAGAGAGGTCTTCCAAGAGAGTGATCCGGTGCGCTCATAAGGACATTGCCGGTCAATTTAAGACAATGGCAAAGAATAAGAACCTGACGAGGAATTTAAAAACATGAAGAGATGCAACATTAAACGAACGGAACCATACGTTAATAGAGTATTGTTGGTGCAGCTAGTGCGATAGTTAATGATATAGTTGCCAGTGAGGTAACACAGGTTGGTGTGATTACAAAGATGCCCAGAAATGTCAATCCAACATCAGCATGTGCAATGCGAACGAGTAAAAGTTGTACCTAATTTCAACAAGTAAATAGCATTTAAATTAAGAACATGTTGGGCAAAAAATTAACTTTCAATTTACCTCTTTGCTCGCATTCAATGAATCCGTTCTAAATGAAAAAGAATAAACTTTCTCATAAATTCTGGTCGCACGATGATTGATAGAAATCATCTGGAGAACTATTAGCAAAAGGATTGAAAATTCTCCGATGCAGGTTAGTAAAGCAGTGAGATTATGATATTTGATTGCATTTGCGAACGCAAAATGGCCTTCAATGAGGCTGAATGCGAAATTGAAACATGTAACGGGTAATAATAGATAATCAAACTTTTCAGTGATTTCCACAGCAAGGCAATACAAATGCCTGATTTGCCGAACGTTATTAACAGAAAATCTGTCGGTAGAACTTCTAAAAATGTCTATTTGGTGCTCAACTTGCATGAAGCAACATTGAATATAAAGGCAAGTTTCAGCGAAAAAACGAAGGAAAATAAAGCAACTCAGTAAACCCTGACTTTTAATAATGAAGTGAACAGTGTTCAGAAAAATTTCCTCTAACGAATTGAAATTTTCTGCCAAATACATAGTTCGTAAGACAAAGAAGCATGAATAACTTAAAACCATTTGAATCTTCATGCTAAGTCGATTCTTTTCCAAATAGCGAACCAATGATGGACACAATGAACTGATTTCTGCATTGCGTTCAAAGTGATTGAATAAATCAATGTACTTTTTTCGGTTCAAGTAGAGCAAAAGTATGAAAGTTACATAACTAATTCGGTAAATGCTGTAAATTGCAGAATAAATTTTCACCGTAATATTTGTTGCAAGCCAAAATTGAAGTATCCAGGTTAGAAAATTAATCGCAATGGAAATTACAAGACACAGGAAAACTACTTTACGACCAGAATAAAGTGCCTTGGCGAGTATTCCAGTTGGTTTACACAGCGCAAACAGATTCGGTTCTGTTTCACTCGAAGCCATTTCAATCATTTTTCAATCAACTTCTCACTTTTCTCGTCAGCTTATAAAAGTTTTTTAAAACTGCTATTTCCAAGGTGTACTTACAAAATAAGACGAAGTTTTTGGTTACAATGTTGCAAACTTGTTGAATAGATCGATAAATTTATCTTATTGGGCATTCAGTTTTATCGATTAGCAGATAGATCATGCATTTTATGACCATCGTAAAGGTTAAATATTATGTCATTTAAATTAGCAGAATTAGATTTGCAATCAATCAACAAAGCTCATGAATTGATTTTGATTGTGAAAAGAATCAATCAATTTGACAATTTTTTATTTCCATCAAGTTTTGATTCATTTTACTCTTTGTTTTCATCGCAAATTGATCAATATCGTCGACTTTTATAGTCTACATTAAGACAACACTCTATACATACACGCAGTGCAATTTTAGTGCTGTGAGTACGTGGATAACAAGGTGACCAGTAAAAGGGATATCTGTGGCTAATTCAAACACCATTAATATTGCTAAAGGGGCTGATAGTGACTACCTAAGTTCAACGGTAGTTTAAAATGTCTATTTTTTGACTGAATCGAGGACTTACATTATTAGTCATTGGTGCAAATAATTCGACGGTGCAGATACTAATAAGCATATAGCATATCGCTTTATAATTTGAATGCAACCTCACTTTGACAATCTGCAAGTTACAGAAACTTTGACCAGAAATATTCTCGAAAAGCTTTGATTCAGCTGCGAAACCGGCACTAGAGACTTATTGTTTCCAATAGTTTACATTTGGCCGTCACTAATACTTTCAACATTAAGCAATCAAATAAGTTTTTAAGGTCGGTGTTGCCAAAGCAATGGTCAATGATATAGTTGCCAGTGAAGTAACGCATGTTGGGGTGATTACAAAGATGCCAAGAAATGTCAAGCCAACATCAGCATGTGTGATGCGAGTCATGAGAATCTGTAACTAATTAAACAATAAAGAGCTCAAATTAGCAATTAGCAATTATGAAAAAGATTTTCTAAAGTTCTGTAAAAACAATTAAATTACCTCTTTGCTCACATTCAATAAGTCTGTTTTGAACGAAAGTAAATAAACGGGCTTATTAATTCTTGTTGCGAGATGATTAATATAAATAATGTGGTAAATTGTAAGAGAAAAGCTTAAAGATTCGCCAATGAAGATGAACATAACAGCTAGAGATGGATTAACGATTGCATTAACAAACGAGAAGTGACTTTCAACGATGCTGACCGTGAAGTAAAAACCAGTAACGGGTATAAATAAAGAATTTATCATTTCTGTAGTTTCGATAGCAGTGCAATACATTCGACGCATTTGTCGAATGCTATCAATAGACAATCTTTTGGTGGAGCTTATTTGGTGTTCAACTTGAATGAAACAGCTTTGAATATAAAGGCAGGTCTCAACGAAAAAACTGCGGAACACAAGAGCACATGAGACACCAATCATTTTGAAAACAAATGTGAAAATGTCAATACACTGAAGATAATCGTTATTTGATGAGAAATGCCTAACCATGACTATCACTGCTACTGAAAAGTAGCATGCGAAACTCATTAACATTGTTATCATTTTAACGAGACGATGTTTCTTTAAATAATTAACCAGAGACGGACATAACTCGTCAATTTTGACATTCGATTCAAAGTAATTGAAGCAATCTATGTACTTATTCCGGTTTCGGTAGAGCAAAAATATAAATATTCCATGAATTAATTGATAAATGATGTAAATTGAACAGTAAATTTTTCCCTCAGTGCTTGGTGAAAACCAAAATTCGCAGTTCCAACTTAGAAAAGCTGTCAGAAGAAACAATTCCATACACAGAAAAACGACTTTACGACCGGAATAAAGTGCCTTGGCGAGTATTCCAGTTGGTTTACACAGCGCAAACAGATTCGATTCTGTTTCACTTGATGATTCATTTTCAATCATAACTGCAATTAAAGATGAACTATTAATTGACATTAAACTTCTTCTTGCTGGATAAACTTGCAAAATGAGTCTTGAAGTTTGAAGCAATTTTGCAAGTTATTATGTTCAAATCAATAAGTTAACCTGGTCGATTATTTTGCTGACTCATCAGATAATCTGAATGGTCATGAACTGAAAGAACCTTGGAAACTAACAATTATTAAGATTATGATTTTATAAACAGTTTCACAGCAAGAAAGCGGACAAATTATTTAATAATTATTAAATCAATCAAACAAACTTTCACAAACCTATGATTTTATTTCAGTGGGATAATAAATCAATCCCAGAAATTATCTATTCAATCCTGAAATTTCACCTTTAGTTCTTGTTTTCAATAAAATGTTCAATATCAAGATCTTTTACAGTCTATTGTACTAAAATATCACAGTCAATAGACTTTTGCCTCTCAATAGATCTGTTCATTTCGGTTATTTCATTGATTTGTTCAAATCAGAATACAAAAAAGCCATTTAGATTTCTGAGCACTGAAAGCAGAAAGTTTAGCGAAATAGGTAATTCAGCAGTTGAAATGTGCGCGCTAAAGGTAATTAAAAATCTGGTAAAATACAATTAAATTGTAAGTGTTTGGATTTTTGATGAGAAAAAATTTGCGTTCATTCTTTTTTTCTTTGCTTCCACAACGATTCACAAGAGACGATGAAAATTACCTTTGCATTTACATTTGCATTCACCATTCCATCAGCATGATTATTGTGAAACTGCAATTTAATATACTCATAAACAAAACCATCTTAACCACCATTATAAAAAAGCATAACAATCATTCTCACTGATATCATCATTATTATCATTTAAAGGTTATTTTGTGTGGTAAATGGTGAAAAAAAGTAGCATCAAGAAGAAACGATAAACTTGGAGTATGAAAGGGAAGAAAAGGGAAAAGTGTTCACATTTGCTTTCCTTTAACATGTTCAGGTTACACAGTTGCTTGTTGCAGCAGCAAACATCGCAAGGGAATCAAGTTTGAACGTATGATAGCAAAAACTGTTACGATCTTTCATTGTTAAACTTGATGCTTCTCTCCTTTATTCGTCTTGTTGCAAGCAACGAAATAAAAAACCATCATTTTGATACAATACTCTTTAACCTTCAATGTGAGACATTTCGTAGCTTCTTTCACTCTCACATTACAAGGAAAAGTTTACTTTTTTCTCTTCTTACTTTTTCTCCATCCAATCTCCTTGTCACTTTTCTTTCTTTTTCTGTCGCTTCTCCAACTTGCACAGTCCATTCATCTAACCATCATCATCATCACCATTTCATCGTACAACTTTTTCTCCTCTCATGCTTCACACCTTTTCTTCCCCAGACTCACTCACATTTGATAATGTTGAAAAAAGTGTTAAAAACTATCAAGCTCAAGGGTGAAAAAAAGGCCAGGGAAGAAAAGTAAAGAGAGGAAAACATTAAAGTCACCTTTCAATGAGTTTTACCACTTTTACTCTCAACATTTTTTCGAAGCAACTTTTTGATTGATGGGATTCGCAAAGACTGTTGATGATGAGTAATAGTACAGAGTTGGTTCAATTGCTAATAACATGTGACAAAAAAGTATTTATCAATGAACACAGTTCGCATTTTTTTCTTTCCATTTTTTATCATGAACACACAGAGCATTTCAACCGACTCGGGATCATTCGTGTCAATATCTAGTGATTTGATTTTAACTTGAAGTTAACAATTTTTGTAAGTTTCAGGTTTAAGTCTCAAGATCAGTCAAAGTAAGTTGAGGTAACTCATGAGAATCGGTTGGAATGGTTTGTCATTTTTCGAACATTTTTTCATCAAAAGACACATTTCATGTGAAGGAGAAAATAACGAAAAACTTGAATCTTTTCATTGCAGATATTCAAATTACATGGAGTCGAGATAGAAAATTAATTAACTCAAATAACGAACCAAGGTAAAGTAAATTTTCACCCTTTTCCTCGCAGCATTTTCCGAGCATCTTGGACAGTTTGCTTAGCACTAAAAGTTTACAACTTTTTGGTTGCTCTGCCTTTCATTTTGATTCATTTGTTTATTTTTTGCCTTTGCACACAATAATACGGGTAATAAGTTTCACATCATTAAATTTATTACATCAATGAACTTTATTCATGCTCAAAATTACTTTTACTTGGAAAAAGAGAAAGAAATTATTTCATTTCACTATTTACAGATTTATACTAATTTATCATTCAACCAATTCTCCAATGGATTATTTGATAACTTACAATATCATCATTCAACTTGCTTCTTTTTTCCTTGACTTTACGCTCTTTAAATAATCATTCATTCAACAAAACTTTGCATGGAACATGTTTTTTCTTCTTCCAAACACAATCTTGAAATCAATTTCAACATTCCCTGAACCAGTTAGCTTTGTTTATTAGACCAACAATTACAATCTCTCAGCTTTTATTACAACTTATAGTTAATTCAATAAACGATAATCTTGAATGTTCTGTTGAATTGCTTTGCCTTTTTTTGATTAACAATTTTTTCTTATGCTTTTACTTTTTATCTCTTTGTTATGAGTAATTGAATTTTCATAGCGATTCCAGCTTTAATCTGATCAACTGAATTTTTTAATATTAATGAATGTCTTTGATGTTATCGATGATCAAAAGACATGAAAAAGGAATAAAACAAAAGTCGAAAAGTTTGATTCTAATCAGAGAATCCAATGAAATTCTAATTCAACATGATCTTTAATGGTTTCAGTTTTTCTATTGTTCCTACAGACATAACAGAAAAATAACAAAAATTTAAGGTTCCAACAGTCAATGTGTCTGGGTTGATAGATTGACTTTCGAAGCCAAAAGTTCTAAAAAATAATTCTTCAAGATATGACTTTTGAAACGAAGATAAAGCGCGCAAAATTTTAAGTATTTTTTGTTCTTTTTGCAGATATATATTTGAACAAATTGAGAAAACGGATCGAACTGAATCGATATTTAAAATAAGAACAGCTGAAAGAAGAGATTCTGCTCTATTTACATGCCACGCTGAAAACAATTATGGTAAAGATAACAGTAATTTTCAAATTGTTGTACAAGGTAAGAAAACTTTTTACTGTAATTTGCTTGAAACTTTCGTCTTTTCATCCTTTTTCCTCTCATCATCATTCATCATTCTACAAAGTAATGACATTTCTATTCCCTTGTAACTAATATTGTAAAACACACTGCAAAGTTATTGAACTCATTCCCTTGTTTCACTTTTATCAAAACTAAGCAAAAAAAACTCTTCTTCCAACACTTTGAAGCCACTCGATATTCACTATCATCCATTTCACAAGTTAAACTTTTTACACACTTTTACTTGACTTTGTAAACATTCAAGGTTAACCTTTTTTTTCAAATTCAATCACTTTATTCAATTAACTTTCAACCCAAACAATAATCAAAGTTGCTTCATTTGTAATTGTTTTCTTTATTCAGTTGGTTGAAGAAAAAAATAGCTTTACTCAAAGAATATCAATTTTCACCTTTACTCTTCTTTAACAATTTTCTCGACTCATCTCACATGATAAAATTGAATTGAACTTTCAACTGTTATGATGGAAGAACAAAGGAAAACAAAAATTTCATGTATTGTTATTCAACTCCCAGTAGCATCATCACTTGCTATTATTTACTATTTGCAGATAATGAAGAGTAAAAAGGAACAAAAAAAGTAGAGAATTTATGCAGAAAATTATTTCCATGAATTCATAGTAATACTTTGTTCTGTTTGTCATCAGTTCAGTGTCTTTTCCTTTACCATTCTGTCTGGCAAATAATGAACAAGTTTATCATTCCCTGTTGCCATTCAAATGAAATGATTTTCCTTGTCAAGATAATGATGAACAGAAGAGTGGTTGAAGAGAGAGAAAAAAGTGAATGCAAAAAAATGGACAAAAAATACATGAAAAATGAAATAGGAAGAGAATAGGAACCACAAAAATGCAAAAATTGAGCAGCTCATCAATCACACGATTCATTATTAAACATTCAATAATAATGGTAATAATAGCTGTAGAGTGACAGATATGAAGCGAAAATATTGAATCGAGAAATGATTAGGAAAAATCAAGAGTCTTTGGAAAACTTGCCAAACACTCTTGTTCATTCGGAACCATTAGAAGCTATTAGCATCAAGTTTGCAGGAGAAAAAAATTTTTACTTAAAAATTGAAAAATTTTCACGAGTCTCGACTTGATTGATAAGCTCAACTTCAACCTAACCAAGTCAACTTGCTCCCATGAATTTGAGCAACTCTTGTGGGGTAACAAAGTGAACAAGTTTAACTCTGTTAATCACAAAATTAATTATCTTTGATGATCAACAAAAGTCAATCAGTTGTTGTTTCGTGTTGAACAATAAAGAGTTGAAGCAAAACTGTGAACAAGATAAAAATGGGTGAAAAAGGCATTTTCACCAGAGATTTCATGGAAAATGTTTCATAGTTGCCTGTTCAACCTTCAAGCTTATTGTGAAAATGCTTTTTTTATACTATTTGTATTACCAAAACTACTTGTTTTTTACCATGAAAAAGCTTGAATAAAGAGAGATGATAAGTTGAGCAAGTTGATGATAACGAGGTAAAGAGTGAAGAAAAGAGTTGAAAAGCTCAATTTATTATTAACATTTTTATCACAATATAAACATTGAGGTTCAACATTTATTCATAATGTGCATATTATTCATAATAAAAGTCAGATATTGGCAGAAGGGAAAAATGTTTAATCTCTGGCTGATGATAATTAATAAACACCTTTTTTGGTTTGAAAACTTTTCAACAATTAATAAACTCTAAACTGCCCTGATTTGATTCAATCCTTGAGGCTTTTCCGGGTCATTTTGGCGCCGTCATTAGCTGCTACTGAAAAGGCTAAACTTGATGGAAACTCGAGTTTACAAACTTGCCAAATTAGATTGACTTTTCAATCATTTTTGCCTTTATTTTTTTCACCTTAAATCTTGATTCAATGTTCAACTTTAGTGTTTGACTTTTTGCTTTGTTCAACTTTTATCGCTCAACCATTCTTGTTTAAATTGTTGACGATGGTTTGAAGGACAAAAATGACAACAGAATAACAATTGACAGGCAAGCAAAATATGATGAAAATGGCAACCAAATTGGCGATCATTTTTAACCTTCAGGGCAGTAAATTGATTGGCCTGAATTTGATCGTTAGTTATGGTGAAATATCAAAAGGGTTCAAATATTTTGACTCTTGTTTGGTTTATTTTTGCCAGCTTTTCCTGCTTTGCTTTTTCTTCTCAGTTTTATGTTTACTTCATTTTATTCAACAATTTTACTCCATCATTATCATCATCTCTTGATAATATCTGCTTTTACTTTGGCCAACATTGAATTGTATCCTCAGGGTTATCTCTTGCTTCTGAACGGGCCTTTCTTTTTTCCGATTCATTTTCTTTTCTTTTTCTTATTCTCTTTTTTTCTTCTTCTTCCTTGTTTCACTCAGCCATTTCAGAAGACTGAGATTTACCTTTTCATATCATGGGAGTTGATGATGTTTGATGATATAAAATAGATTCAGTATATTAAAGTCAGGGAGGGAAACAAAGAGAATAAGGAAAGAAATAAAAAGGGAAAACGGAAATTGAAGAAGACATAATAAAGGATGAAAGGTTAAACGAAAAAGATTCATAAAAGTTATTTTGAATTAATCAGAAGAAGAAAAGAAGATAAATAGGAAGAGTAAACCAAAGGGAAACAATAAAAGTAGAAGATGAAAAGTTGCACAGAAAATGAGCATTTCCATGCAAACATTTTCCTTCATCAACCTTTTCTCTTTCAACTGTCGATTTCAATGGTAAAAAAGTCAAAAGTCTCTCAAAACTCTGAATCAATAATTATTTTGAAATATATACTCGATTATTGAAGAAAAAAGGTTGAAAAGACGAAAATTTTGATTTCTTAAACTTAGTAAAACTTCAATCGAAAATCTTTTATACAGAATCGCCCGACTGTCCAGTAGACCTTAAAGCCGAAGATGTTGGAAGTCGTTCATTTGCCTTAACCTGGTCCCATCCCTTCAATGGCAACTCACCCATTTTGAGTTACCTCTTAGAGTACAAGCCTTCAAAGTTTTACAGCTACTCTACTAGTAAAGGGGTCAACAAGGAAGTCCTTCCCGTAACGGGAGTCAGCCATGTGATTAAAGGTTTAGAACCTCAGACAACCTACCTTGTTACCTTGAGTGCTCAAAATGGTTTGGGTACAAGCAGCGAGTGTCTTCCCTTGAGTGTAACTACTGATGGTGAAGCTCCGACTGGAGCACCTCGAGACATCAAAGTAGTCCCAATATCATCCACTAGCCTGCAAGTCAACTGGAAACCTCCAGCCGTGTCTGAGCAGAATGGACCCATCTTGGGTTACTATGTTGGCTATCGACAGCAACGTTCACCAGAAGAGTTTTCATACAAAACGATTGATGCCACTTCACCTTCATTTTCATACTCGACTACATTATCTTCCCTCCCTTCAATGCCATCCCCTGCATCTTCCTCGTCATCTTTTCCTTCTTCACTGGAAGACAAAAATTTCGAGGAAAGTTGCCAGATAAATGGATTACGCAAATTGACTCGTTATCTAATTATTGTCCAAGCTTACAACAAGAAAGGTGCTGGTCCACCTTCAGATCAGATTGAAGCCCAAACCCTTGAATATGGTGAGTTATTTGCTTCGCATCAATCAATCCTTTCATTCAATAATCGTAATCTATTATCAGTTTCATTCAATATCAAATTAAATTATCATTAAACAACAAATGCTAAATTGGATGAAAAGCTCAATAGTTATTGTTAATACGGCGAACCATTAGCAAATGGTTGAGAAAATCTTAATACGAGAATCATGGTATTATTGAATTAATGATAATTGATAAACATAAGTATGCAAAGATGATTAAATCTCCATTAATTTCAATTTTTTGAATATAATAATGTAAATTAATTGTCTTTTGATTCAAAAGATTACATTTATTCGCAATCAAATTACAAGTCAATATTAATCGAACAATGAATTTACGAAGAATTATGATTGATGCAACAACATGATTGAAATATCCACCAAAAAATCTGTCGAAAATCACAAATGAATGTCTTTTTTAAGTAAAAGGAAAGGTTTACGAAATCGAAGAAATTCATCATTTAGAATTCGCATTTTAATCAATCGAGAGAGTTTTTTGAAATCATGAAAAGATTTCATTACAAGAATAATCAATCGATTGGACTTTATCATGAATTCTGGATTGACTAAGCTTGCGTTTACAATAACATATTGCTACAATAAAATATTCTGCGATTACTATTAATAGATAATTCAATTGAACTGTATTGAGTTGATGAATTATTGGTGCTGACATAACTTATTCAAACAATGTTGGTGCTGAGAGTGCAATGGTTAGAGTCAATGAAGCCATTGAAGTGACGAATGTCGGTGTTATTAGAGAGATTTTCAGAAAGGAAAAGCCAACTTTAGAATGTTCAATACGGTCGATAAATAAAAGAACCTGAAAAATTGAAAGAACAAGAAATTAGCTTTCGAGTTTACAGTAAGACACAGTTTGTTAAGACTTACCTCATTATGGACTGGCAATGAACGAGTTTTATATGCAAGAGAATAGACAACATCGAAACATTTATTTGAAAGATAGTTGATGTATATTATGTTGAAAGTAACGAATACCAAGTGCAGGGATTGAGTCGTAACCATGATAAGATTTTCCACCGTTGGTTCTCGGAGCATATTGACAAAATGAACGTTAAATAGAATGAATAGGAATGAATAGTAACTGAATATTGGGAATCGAAGAAATGAATCCATTTTATGTGTTGTTACGGCAGCTATAACGAACATTGAACGGCATTCACGGATTTCAGTCAAAGTCAACGTACGACCGTCAATTCTATCGAGTAAACGAATGCAGTCTAGAACAGTGAGCCAACACGCTTGAATGTTGAGACAGGATTCAACTAAAAACTGGTGGTACAACTGAAAGCTTGAATGGCAAAGTAAATACAACAAACAAGAAGATAAGTTTTTCAGCAGTGAAATGTAGTCGCCTGTTTGCTGAAAACTCATGATAGAATGACATAAATCGCAAAGGGGAGGCCAAAGAGCAATAAATGTGACGACAAACAGGAAAATATTTCGAGATTTAGACAAGTGTTTGCGAACATTTGGTCTGTCCAGATTACATCGGGTTTGAGCTTCAAACAGATTGATTATGGCATTATATTTCATCCGCTTTGAACGAATTCGCAAAAGCCAAATCACGTATAAAACCAAATTTGTGCACCGGAAAATTTTCTCGCAAGTTGTAAATTTAGTTATTGCTTCTTTGGCGAAAATATTCACAAAAATTACGCAAATAGCCAGCAAAATGAGAAAGAAATTAGTAAAAGCACTTTTCTTTCCTTCGAATCTAACCATTGAAGCAAATAAGCCAATAGGCTTCGCATATGAAGAACCATTTTCAATGGGCAACATTCGAGGCATTTTGTTGCAAATAAATAATTATGTCTAACGAATAATTAACAGCCACAATTTCAAACTTTTCACTCAAAAATGAATATTGAAGGTATTGCGTTTCAAATAGATGATCATGCCAAATGCGCATCTACTATTAAAGCTACTGATCAGGAGACAAACCCCGTGGTTAATGGCATTAACTTTCAACTGAGGAGACTCGAACGGCCAATCATGCCACATAGATACTTTATAGATGTTTATAGATGATAGAACAGGTAAGGAACACAGCATGGAGCATCAGGTAGATGGCGTACCAAAGTAGATCGCTCGATTTGGTCTATGCTTTTTGAATACGACTATAAACATTTGCAATAATTTTACGTTGTTTTCATGATAGTTAGCCTTTAGTTCTAGGAAATAGCTCAACCTAATTAAGATATCCGGCGATATATTGTTGATGATACTTTAAAAAAGCAGCGTTGGGGCTGATAATGCAATAGTTAGAGTCAGGGATACCATTGAAGTGACGAAGGTCGGTGTTATTAGAGAGATTTTTAGAAAGGAAAAGCCAACTTTAGACTGTTCAATACGCTGAATAAATTGCTGAACCTGAAAATTGATTGAAATAAACAAGAAAATAGCTTTCGAGTTTGCTGTAAATTATAACATCGTACTTACCTCATTACTAATTACAAACGAACGCGTCCTGTATGAAAGTGAATAGACATCATCGAAACATTTATTTGAAAGATAGTTGATGTACATTGTGTTGAAAGTGGTGAATGCTAAGTGCAAAAACTGAACAAAAAAATGAATAATTCCCACAATCGTTGGTGCATGGAAAACTTTAACCATATTCATTTGAAATGCCATGAACAGAAATGAATAGAAATTGAATAATGGAAATTGAAGAAACAAATCCATCTTTTGTGAACGAACATGATCTTGCACAGTAAGCCAACATGCTTGAATGTGTAGACATGATTCAAAGATGAACTGGTTGGCCGCTTGGAAGCTCAAATAGATTAAGATTTCAAGAGCACCAGAAGCCAATACATTCATTAGTTGATTGTAGTTACTCGTTTGGGCACTGATCACAATAGAGCAGCCCGAATTATAAAGTGAGGGCAGTAATGTTGAAACAAAGTAAACAAGCGTCGCAATTTTTCGAGTTACAACTAAGTGACGCCGAACTCTACAGCTTTCCAGATTACACCGTGTTTTATCTTTAAACAGGTCAATCAATGAAGCGTACTTGGATTGCTTCGAACGTAAACTTAAAAGCCAAAATATATACAAAGTCTTATATGTACAGCGTAAATATAGATTGTACATATCAAATTGCGTGTTTGGCTTGGGTCGCAAAATATCGGTTATAAGAGTGAAGACAGCAAATGAAGTGATTAGAAAATGAGTAAAAGCACTTTTCTTTCCTTCAAAACGAAGCATTGAAGCAAATAAACCGATTGGTTTGAAAGATGAGTAACGATCTTCAATGATAATTATCGGAGGCATTATTTCAGAGTAAAAATAACGTTTAATGAACTCGCCACAGTACCTTAAGCCAATGAACCAGTATTAAATTCGTTGTATTTTGAAGTTTGTAATTATTCGAAGTGTGAGTCCATTGATAGTTACTTATTGTTGAATGAATTTTAAGAAATAAGTTCCGCTAATTTAGTTGTCTAAAGTCACCTGTATGATTACGGGAACCTGACCAACTTTACAAAAGCAAAAAATGAAATCATTGCTTGACTCCATAGCAGACTAATCAATAGTGAGTTTTGTCGAATTTCAACCGAACAAAGGAAATTATTCATTTAATTTGTAAATACAATAGTTTAAATTACAATGGAAATGTTTAAATGAAAGAAATGTAATATTTTCAATATTCATATTTCAATCAATCAAGAACGTTTTTTGGAATCGAAATAGATTTGATTACAAAAGTAATCAATCAATTAGACAAGTTTGTCCTAATTCAGACAATTCTGGATTGATCTAGATTTTGTTTACAATATGGTATTATATAAAGTGAAGGCTGGACAGTTCTGCGCGGTTTCTAAACAGTTTCAATGCTAGCCCAAGCAGATCATCTCAATTGGTCCGCATCCAACGCCTTTAAAACTTTGCAATGAATTTTTCTCGTGTTATGATAATAATGGATCACACTAATCAATAATCACACCTTCAAAAATCTTAAAATCTACTATTAGGTTCCTATAAATATTCCTGCTATCACTATAAATAAGTGCAGAAAATCGTTAACAGAGAAAGTGGCAAATGACGGTTTTTTTCAATCCATATGGTATGCAGAATTTCAGTGCGAATAATAAAAATTGAGATGAATCTGCTTCTAGCGCTAGCTTCATATAATAAATACGATTCTTAACTGTAGTCAATGGTTACTGGTAGTTAGTAGTGAGTTCTGAATGATGATAACAAAATAACATAACATTATCCGATGATGAATTGGTGATGATACTTTAAAAGAACAGTGTTGGTGCTGAGAGTGCAATAGTTAGAGTCAATGATGCCATTGATGTGACGAAGGTGGGTGTTATTAGAGAGATTTTTAGGAAGGAAAAGCCAACTTTAGAATGTTCAATACGGTCGATGAATAGTTGAACCTGGAATTTAATTAAAAGAACAATAGTGAAGCGTTAAGTTGAATTTAGTTTTTAATTTCAAAAACTTACCTCATTATTAATTGGCAATGAACGCGTTTTATATGAAAGTGAATGAACATGATCGAAACATTGATTTGAAAGATAGTTGATGTATACCATGTTGAAAGTGGTGAAGGCCATGTGTAAAAATTGAATGGAAATTCGAATGATTCCGACTGTCGTTGGTTCATGGCAATTTATAACAAGATTCAATTGAAACGCAGTAAACAGACACGAATAAAAATTGAATAACGGAAATTGAAGAAATGAATCCATTTTTTGTGTCGTCGCAGCAGCTATACTGTACATTGAACGGCATTTACGGAGCTTAGTTATAGTTAACCTCTCAATGTTCTCTAGTGACCGAATATGATCTTCAACAGTAAGCCAACATGCTTGAATGTGGAGACATGATTCAAAAAGGAATTGGTTGTACAACTGGAAACTCAAATAGGTTAAGATTTCAAGAACACCAAAAACCAATTTACTCATTAGTTGATCGTAGTGACTCGTTTGTAGACTGATTAAAATAGAATAGCATAAATTATGAATTGGTAACAAAAATGGTATAATAAGGTAGACAAATGTGGCTATTTTTCTATTTACAACCAAGTGACGTCGAATTTCGCAGCTGTCCAGATTACATCGTGTTTTTGCTTTAAATAAGTCAATCAATGAAACATATTTGAGCTGATACCGCTTTGAAAATAATATTAGTAACCAGATAATATGTAAAGTCGCACCTGTGCTGCGAAAGTAAGCATTGAATACTTCAAATGTTGAGTTTTTTTTGGATGAAAAAATATTGATTGTGAGATAGCAAGCAGTACATAAAATGATTACTAAATGAGTAAAAGCACTTTTCTTTCCTTCGCAACGAAGCATTGAAGCAAATAAACCCATTGGTTTGGTACATGAATAACGATCTTCAATGACAATTATCGGAGGCATTGTTTCAAAAAGAAGATAATTATTATACTTGCAAGAACTCGAAACGGTAACTGAAATTTCGCAAACAATAACGATTATTCACCGTCAAATTCACCGTATTTTGAAGTTGGTATTTATTTGAAGTTTATTTGAATCAAATCCGTTATTAGGAAAAACTTTGTGCTGAGAAGAATCAATTGATTTCATGTAAATTTACATTTTTGTTGCACTCTCATTGTGATTTTCTATGTAGAAGATGATACGAGTGTTTTCATTGTTCTTAAATTCTAGGCGATTCACTAGTTTAAAAGGCAAAACTTTTTACCATTATAATGAACATTTTCGCAAATTTCGTTTTGCAACTGCAAGCACAAAAGTTTCTTGAATAATATAATAGTGTCAGTCCACGCAGCTACTAATGAGTAACTAGAATGTCCTAGTGGATATAGTAAAGCGCCTTTGCCTACCAAACAATGTTTACAAAACCAAAAAAAGTATTTCTTGACTGCACAGAAGAATAGTCAGTTGTGTCGGTGTTAAATGAACAAAGAGCATTATGAATTAATAATTTGTCAGTTTGAATTACAATGAAAATGTTTAAATGAAATAAATATAATTCAATCAATCAAGAATTTCCAAAAGAATCGTTTTTAGATTATGAATAGATTTGATTACATGAATGATCAATCAATTTGACATACTTACCGATTTGGGTTTTCGTTTTAAATATTACATTTATACGATGAATGCCAGATTGAATTTTATTGATGAGTTCTTGTTATCATTACAATAGTGATGATACCGATAGGGCAATACATAAAGGGTGTAAAACTTAAAAACGCGCAAATGAAGGAGGTAACAAGAAAGCTTATCTTTCCTTAATCACAAAATTTGACGATATTGATTAAGATAACAATGAAGCAACAAAGACAATGAAACCAAAATCAGATCTGTTGCTTCATAATCTTTGTTATTATCTTAAGAAATTTCACCAAATTTTGTGATTACCGTAAGATATGCTTTCTTGTTACCTCCTTCATTTGCGCGTTTTTAAGTGTTACACCCTTTAGAAACGACAACAACATTGACGTGATGTGTTGTTGTATAATATGAAACTCGCGTCCTTCGCTTTGCAGCAACTGGGTATATAAAAAACTCGAAACAAAAAGATCAGAATGTTCTTAACTGAGTGTGTAAAAATAATTTTCTCCGGCAAAATTCATTTTAATGCACTCTAAAACTTCGAAAATGATTTCCAGGCCAATCTTCTAAACAAAGTAAATACCATCAAATATAATATTGCAAAGTTTTTGATAAAAATTTTTGATTCAATTATAACCACTAATTACTTTGATGATTAAATGAAACTTGATAATGGACAATTGTATTTAATGAATACAAGTTAATTACCTTTTGATTAATAGATAATGAAAGTTGATTAACTTTTCTTTTCTTTACTCTACAGATCCACCAGAAGCACCAACTCTTAAGGTTGTCTCAACAACCTTTAACTCTGCCTTACTTTCATGGGATATTAATGATGATATCCCATTAGATCCAATGTCAGGTTACATTGTTTATCATAAAGTTGAAAAGGGTGACTGGGAGGAAATATCGATCTATGCCGATAAACTTAAATACAACATTAAAAATCTTTCATGTGGTAAACGATATCAGTTTTATATTGTTCCCTTTAATTCGGCAGGTAAGTCATCAACACCTTATTTGTAGAGTTTCAAAGTTGCCCATTTGTTGATCATTTATCAAGTTGAATGAAAAAAAACATTTTCGACTTTTTTTTCTTCCATTTCCAATTCGTTATTTTTGCTTCTTCCTTACATCTCAATAAGAAAATTTTTGCAGCCTTATTTGAACAATTTTTTCCCTCATTTTTCACGGCTTTTCTGATTGTCATTTTTAATCATTAATTTATTGCTTCATGGAAGCTTCATGTTTCATTTTTATAAATGATCGACAGAACAACGATCATTTGCTGATTCTCAATGAAAGTAATAAAGGTGTTCTTATTGACCATTGAGTCTAGTTGATAAAGAAATTGACTTTTTTCTTTATTATTCCTTATTAGCCAATGAAAGGTTTACTATTTATTTTGATTCAACTTGGATTCGATTCTTGCCTTTTATTTCACTTTCGTTTCGAACCATTGAGATTCGTCTTTCTTTTCTTTTCTTACTGTTCTGTACGTGTTTTGAATCAAGTGTTTAACCATTGAACAACCCTTGAATGTTAAAGGCTCCATTTTCATCATTCATTTCATTGAGTGTAAAGGACAAGACCTGGTTGATGGAAATCCTGGACAATAAAACTGAATTGTAATAGTTGCACATTAATGATGTGATTATATTAATCTTGAATCATCAAGTGATGAGACGAGGATTGAAGTTGATCATTCAACTGTTTCTTCATGCACTTCAAAAATCGAAGCGAGTTTCGATTAAACAGTTACGATTTTTGCAGAAGAAAAGTTTCGTAAGCATCTTTCATCTTTAATTTTTTTTCAAACTATCGATATTTCTGTTAGTGCAATACAAACATTTTTTTTTCTATAACTCAGTGACCTCAAATGATAAAAAATTTCGACAAGACCCATTAGACTCCAAATTTTATTAGAATTTTTTAGTATCAAGCTCAAAGTCATTCAAGGTCAATTTGCTATTTGACCTCTAATTGACATTGGAAGTTAATTTTCGGAGAAAATTTTTTTTTTAAAATGGGTTAATTTCTAGTTCATGGAAATAACTCTTATTATTGAAAATATAATTGAATTTTTCACAAAACCAATTTGTTAACTGAACGGTATGGAATCAATCATATCTTTCGACCAGTATGAGTTATAAACTTCTAACAGACATTGACCAATCTGAAAAAAACTTTTCTCACAGAAAATGAACTTCCAATGTCAACTAGAGGTTAAATAGCAAATTGACCTTTAATGACCTAGAGCTTGATGCATGATTCTAATTTAGTCGCAAATTCAAGAGTCAAAGGACTGATATTGACTCACGAAAATATATAAAGTCCGAATAATATTACTTTTAATAATCCATCACTTGAAATGTTAGCGATCTCACTCTTCTATAGTTTTTTCGCCAACGAGATCCAAGGACCAATGCTAGAACAATTATGCATGACCGAATGTAAAATTCCAGGTAATATGCCAGATATGCAGAACTTTCCAGATTTGTAGCGACTTCATATTGAGGAATACACTGAGAAAGTTTTCAAAGACAAATCTTATACTGAAACCTTTCTCAAAAAACTAGAAATTTTGGATATACGCTACGACAGTGAATGGAAGCTATGTGTATATTATGGATTCAGCGTTGCAGATCATTGTCCAGCTTTGAAAAGTACCTATCATTATATTGAAAAAACAAAGAATTCATGAAATCAAAAATAATTTCTCAGAAGAATTAGTTCTTGAGTTTGAGGAATATCAAGATTGGTCAGTTTTGAGACTCATATTGACCTAGTACCCAAATTTGAGACATTTGGCTATCAGAAGAGGCGAAATAATGTCTGATGACAATATTCCCGAACTGCTGGAGCTTATTGCTCGCATAATTCTTATTGATATCATAGGCTCAGAACAACTAACCGAAAAGTCCAATGAATAGATTGATCGGTACTGAGGACGTCATAACCGTTCGTTTTCATTTTTTACTTCAAAAAGGACTGGAAAAATCTGTGAAATGGCCTTATTTATCACCAGAACGTGTGTACAGGGCTTATCAGCTATCTTTACCGACGTTAAACGGCTATATCTTGGCAGTGATTGACCTTGAGGCCGCAGACTTTTTATAAGAAAATTTTGCTAATTGATAATTTTGATAATTATTTGCTATATTTCAAGTTCAAGGTCATTCAAGGTCATTCAAGGTCATTTGTTGTATATTGGTCGAGAATTTGATTTCATGAAATACTGTTTTTTCAAAAATTTTATTGATTTGCATTTTTTACTTGATCAAACTGAATCAAGAGCAATTAACGAATAAGTTTAAGGAGATTTTATATTTGAATTTTCTCACATACATGATTAGTCCATCTTTGAGATAACAATATTAAAATTATGAAAACAGTAAAAAAATTACAACATGTACAATCACATGAATAGCTTTTACAGAAAGCACATAGCAGAGGGAATTATTAAAAATTCTAAAAAATTTTATTCTGAATGACACAGAGAAGAGCTGCTTTCTCCTAAGTTATGTTGAAATGTTTACAAAACTGCGATAAAGTTCAATTTTGGGTAAACTTTGGAATGCATAAAATAACAGATAATTATTCAATGTTATTAGCAATAAATATTGTTCAATATTGATAAGCATTACTGTAAAAATGTAATAATTTGCTAATTATATATATCTTTTCTTTTCTTCCAATTGCTCATATTAGGTAAAGGTCAACCAAGTGAAGTTGTTTCAGCCAAAACTCTTGGAACAGGTAAAAAAATTATCGACTCATGTTAAACCTAATTAAGCTTCTTTTATTGAATTAACTTTGATTAACAAGCTACAGCTTGCAGTTCAACTAATACCTTAACTGAATCTCCTTTTGTTTTTACCTTTTACCTTTTTACTGAACATTTCTTGCAACAATTCTTTGCTTCTTTTTCATCCTTTTCTTCCTCTAACGTTATGTATTCCAACAATCAATCGATGAGCATTAAAAGTCAACATGATACAGCTAAAATGCATACAAAAATAATCACTCAGCTTATAATCACATTTGAAAAACTTTACAATTCTCAACATTTAAACTCATGTTAAGGTCAAACCCTTTAATATCAAAGTCAACATTGATGATAAAAGTTGGAAGCAAGTTTAATGGCTTGAAAAGTTGAAATGGAAAGTTGAGAGAGTGAAGAGAACGGTGAAATGGGATGATGATTATGATGAAAAGAAGTAAAGAAAATGGTTAATTTGATGAAAAAGGAAATTAATAAATCTCAATGGCTGTGAATAATTCATATCGTCGATTTAACCAAGAAAACGTTCACTTCCGTTTCCACTAGAAACTTGAACATGTTTCATTTTACTCAGCTTTTATCTTCCTCATCATCATGCTTAATTCTTTTTCATCTTCTTCTTCTTTATTAAGTACATTTACTTCATACTAAATAAGCACAAAAACGCAAGTCTACCTAATTCACTTCACTCTTATTCTCATCATCATCTTCTTCTTCTTCACCTCTTTGTGCTTCCCTTTTCTTGTTTACCATTTCTTATTAAATGATTCGTTCCAAGCTTTCATCTTCATCTTTCTCCTTCTTTTCCCTTCCTCATCTTCTCATCTATAAACACTCTAATTGATAATTGCTATTAGTTTAACTATTTTCACTCAATCCCAGTCTTGTTTTTCTTTTTGCAATTTCTTAAACTTGTTTTTTCTTCCTTATCCTTCGTTATCCTACATTTTATCATGAAACCTCGAACCAGTCAAACCAAATCATGTTCAATTAGCGTCGAGTATGGAAATGAACAAAAATGCATTTTCCAATGTCAACAGTTTTTGGAAAAAAAGTCGCTATTAAATTGTACAAGAAATTGTAGAGATTCAATTGTAAAAACTAGTTTCGATTGAATGGTGATAGAAATTGATTCAGATTGGATTCATTTTTTTGAAGATTCTGAACCAGAAAACTGTTTTAATTGTCCAGAACTTGTCGACACTAAGTTCTTGTTGAAATTCATAATTTGCTTTTCACCATCACATGTTACTTGCAAGCCTCTATCACGATCACGTTTTTATTTCACATGTTGAGGCTATATTTGGTTGCCTCGTGATTTAAAAAGTTAAAAAAGTCACTGAATCACACCAAGTCTGAAAAAAATATAGTAATGTTCAAGATTATTATTAAAATATTAAATGGTTTCAAGAAATGAAGTGCACTCCCGTGGTTGATGACAAGCTTAATATTTAATATTAACTCAAGGTCTGTCTAGCCATGGTCTTTATGCATACTCTGACCAGCTTTAGGCCACTTCATTGCCTCTGCTCTTGAATCAAATTCGCTTATGCTTAAACAAACTACGTGCGAATAGATAAACTATTAAGATGTTGTATATTATAATTATACGATTCTAAATCTGCTTGAGATGCACCTCTCAAGACATTTCGATGAAATTATTAGTAAAACAAAATTGTAATAAAATCAGATGAAACACAATCTATGTGTGTAGGATTTTAATAGTGAATGTAACCAGAAATATTATTATATATACAGCTGCGAAAATGGATATGGTACCGAGGTTAAACTCCATTTTCGTAGTGCATTTTAATGCAGTGATAAAGTTTACATTTATAGAAGTGTAGCATTTAAGTGAAACATTAAAAGTCGATAAATTTAATCAGGGTTGGAACTGGCAAAAAACGGCCAATGTTATCGTGGCCAACGATGGCTTGTTTCTGGAAATTTCTCAGAAAAATGTTACTTGACGATAAGGGGTCATTGAAATCAATGTTGGGTGTAAACAAGAAGCAAACCTAGTCTTATTTAAGACAACATTAATTGAAGCGCAATATGCAAGAACAAACATTAAAATCTAACAAATTTAACTAGTGCTGGTGTTGCCAAAGCAATGGTCAATGATATAGTGGCCAATGAAGTAACACAAGTTGGTGTTATAACGAATATATCCAAGAAAGTAAATCCAACATCAGCTCGTGCAATGCGAGTGAGCAAAAGTTGAATCTAAAATGTAAAAGAAATGTTGGAATTGAAATGAATTTTAGAACTAATGAAAGCTTGTTAGTCACATTAGACATTCATGATAGCATTTAAAATTATATCTTAAGGTGTACTTGGTTTACCTCTTTGCTGACTTTTAGCGAATCTGTTTTGAATGAGAAAGAATAAACTTGTTCATAGATTCGGGTTGCAAGGTGATTAATGTATATCATGTGGTATATTACAAGAGAAAAGGTCATAATATTGCCGAACGTAATAACTGTAGCTATAAAATTTGGATTAGCGATTAAAGCTGCAAGAGAGGAATGAGTTGCAACAAAACTAAGAATGAATTGTTGGCCAATCAGGAAAAACAAGAAAGAATTGAGCATTTCTGTATTTTCAATAGCAATGCAATATACATAACGAATCTGTCGAATGCTAACAATATCGAGTTCCCTGTTTGATGCGTTCAATGTATGTATTTCATGTTCAACTTGCAGGAAACAGCTTTGAATATAGAGAAAAGTTTGAATCAAGAAACCGAGAAAACTGTAGAAAATAAACAGACCCATCGTTCTGATAACGAAGAGGACAATGTACTTCCATACAATCAGTGATGAATCGAACTGAATGGCAAATGTCGAGTAAATTTGTAGCGGAAAGAAGCACGAAAAACACAATATTGCATGTATCTTTATGATTAAGCGATGCATTTTCAAATATGGAGGCAAAGATGAACATAGCAAGTTAATGTTAACATTTCGTTCAAAGTGATAAAAGATATCAATAAACTTGTTCAGGTTTCGCCAGACAACAGCCATGAAGGTCGCCAAAGTGAATGCAGTAATAGCACAGATTGAAAAAATAATCTTGCTCGAGATTCTTTGCGCCATCAACATTTCAATCGTCCAGATCGAACCATCAATTAGCTGGAGAACAGCTATAGACCAATAAACGAAATTACGACCGGAATAAATTGCTTTAGCAAATAGCCCAGTTGGCTTACATATTGTAAAGGGACTCAATCCTGTTTCACTTGATATACTCATTCTGATTGTATTAATCAACTTTATATTGAAGTTTTAACCGCAGTTCAGCTTGCCAAATAAGACGTAGATTTTCGAGGAAAGGTTACGAAAGTTGCAATAATCAATAAATCTATTGTTTGAGTCCGGGTGAGTTTCTAGATAATCAGATGAGTCAGTTATTGAAATCAACAATAAATTAACAATTAAGTTTTAACAATGAATAATCTTTAAATAAGTCTTTCATATCGATTCACAACGGGTATGCTTCTAGGCAATCAGATGCGTTGGTGAAATCAATGATAAAAAATGTAAATTATATGAAAGATGACCATTCGTATTGTTAAAATATAATTTCATAAACTTGTGAATAGATTTCGTTGCAAAAGCGATCAATCAATTTGACAAGTTTTTCGATTCGATGTGATTGTCTGCTGTTTGGCCGCTGATTCAAATGATAGTTGATCAACTCAATTGTACAATATCTAGATTTATTGTTCGATACATATCGATATTGTAAAATTTTTAACATAGAATGAACAAGCAAAGACATTTGGGTTTTCGATACAATTGTTCGAGCTATTAGCACATGTTACAAACAATTTTTGTGAAGTCAAATGCAAATGAAAGTATTACATTCCAAAGTAAAATGATGCAGTTTACATTTATAGAAGTGCTGGTTTAAAGTGAAACATTAAAAGCCGATAAATTTGATTAAAGTTGGAACTGCCAACGCAACAGTTAATGTTATCGTTGCCAGTGAAGTAACGCAAGTTGGTGTGATGACAAAGATACCAAGCCAAGTCAAGCCAACATCAGCCCGTGCAATGCGAGTCAGAAGCAATTGAATCTAATTTTTTTTGAAAATGAAATTGAAATTAGTAAAGCAAGATTCAGTTTGAATGGACAGAAATTTTACAAATATTCTAATATTGGATATAACCGATTATTGAATTACCTCTTTGCTCACATTTAGTGATTCTGTTTTGAATGAAAAAGAATAAACTTTTTCATAAACATTGACCGCAAGATGATTGATATAAATTATGTAATAAGTTACAACGAAAAAGTTTGTGAATGCTGCAATGAACATCAATATAATAACCAGAGATGGAAAAGCCAACACATTAGTAAAGACGTAATGACAATCGATGAGACTTAACACAAAAAAGGTGACTGTTGCTGGCAACAACAAGGAATTCAACTTTTCCGTAGTTTTAATAGCAATGCAATAGCATCGACGAACTTGCCGCACTTTAGCAAGTGACAGCAAACTGTTTGAGTTGTTCACTGCATCTATTTGGTGTTCAACTTGTATAAAACAACATTGAACATAAAGGCAACTTTCGACATAGAAGTTGAGGTAAAGGTAGTAGCATGCGAGAGAACTTGTTCTTATAATTAGATACCAAATTGAGTCTCCACCAAATTGGACAAATGCGACGATTCCTGCGACAGTGTAGCAAAAGAATCCAACGCTTAACAGTATTGAAATAATGAAGCGATTCTTTTGCAAATACTTGACCAGAGATGGACTTATTATATTGATATTAGCATTGACTTCGAAGTAAGCAAAGCAATCCATGTATTTGTCTCGATTCGAGTAAACCGAGGAAACGATGGCTCCAAAAATCATAAGATACGAACTGTAGATCATAGCATAAAATTTCCTCCAGGCTTCTATCGGTATCCATAAATAGATTGTCCAAGTTATAGAGGCAACGGCAAGTAACAACGTACAAGAC